GTGTGTTATTGTTTTTTGCAGTCACGTGACTCTACAAAAGCCAGAAACTGGTCTTTAATTGGTATTATCTTCAGTTGACTTTTCCTAAAAATAAAAACAAACCACAAGACACTCTTAGCTGAAAATGTACACATTAACATCTCTTGCTCGAAAGTCTAATGCAGCCCGGTTAACTTCAGGAAGTGAGAAAGGTGAGCGCGAGATCTTTAGCGTCACTTATGCGTATGGCTTTTTAAAAGTGTTGAACAAGATAAAAATGACTTACCGACGTCCACACCGGATGTATTAATCCCAGAGAGAGAAATAAAGAAGCTGCCAAAGATAGCCGCATGCTTTAGCTGAGCTGGTGTCCGCTTTGCTCTTCTCCGGAGCTGCCTGCGAAGGTGTTTTTATTGAACTTCCAGCTTCTCCCGGTGTCACTGTGTCCAAATCCCGCCCACCAATAAAACACACGTTAACTGTAGCTGATAACAGGTGGCAGGGCTCATACGCTGGAGTCTGTACATAAGACAGACCCCTGGGTAAGAGCAAATAAATGAATAAAAAGTTAATTAATAAATTAACCTACCGTAGGAGGAAATAAAAGCAAAACTGTAATTTGTTTATTCGTGCTGTAGTTTGACCCTTAAAACTATCTTTTTATCTATATCATATCGCGTGAGGATCCTGTTGGCTTTGTATAAAAAAAAATATCTATTTAACCAAAACTAAACTTAAAACTAAAAATAGATGTAAAAAACGAAAAAATAAAAAACATTTTAGTTAACTAAAATGGTAGTAATAAGAAATCTGAAAAAAAAATTAACTAAAATGATTTTTTTGAACTCGAAAAACGAACTAAAATGAAATAAAAATGTAAGGGAAACATCGCTACTTTCCCTATCCGTCTGTTTGTTAAAAACATTGATTACAATGAGTCCTAATGAGTCATTGAAAAACATGTTTGCTGTAAATACTATGACAAACTATGAGTCACCTGCTTTCAGAAGACTTTTACAGTAATACCTGTACTTTACCTGAAATTTTTTTAGACTTTTTTTACACCGAGTTTCGGCTCAGATTCCTTTCTGAGAAACTCTCCGTTGATTGATTTTTATACTCAATCATGTAACTGACATGTTTCCAGTTAACCTAATTAGTTGAAAAATGTTCTCTTTTTCAGTATTTTTCAAGCATTTTGTGCACCGCGAACCAACTTTTTTGAGATGTGTTCCTGCCGTCAAATTCAAAATGAGCAAATATTTTTCACGAAATAATAAAATGTGTCATTATAAACATTTGATGTTTTCTTTGTTTGATTATTAATAACACATGGCTTTATGAGTTTTACAAACCATTGCATTCTACTTTAATTTACACAACATCTAAACATTTTGGGGCCTGGGGTTGTACTTCCACGCATCATTTATTCTGTTATTTCATGCCTAAACTCCTTCTCAAACATTCATGTGCTCTTAAATGATGAATGCATTGAGTGTCCAGCCCAAGGACACTAAATAGTAGTCTCTTATCTACCTAGCGGCTGCCCCAGCATCAATCCACCTCAGAAAAGAAGTGCTCAGTGCTTCATAGGAAGTCCATAAGCAATTTGAGACTATAGCAGCATAACCAAGGGACTGTTCAGGGTCACCGGATTCAGAGTGGGAGCTGTTCTACATAAAAAGGACCTGAAGACTTGTAACTGTAGTAACTAAGACCAAGGCTGGAAACTGAGATAAATGCCAAGATATCTTTAAGTCATTCAGCATTTCATACGTGAGGAGGAATATAAATGTAACTTTTGATTTACCACAAAGCTGATGAAGAACAATACAGGAGAGGTACAAGTTCCCTTTTAACTTCTGTTCCAGCTGCTGCGTTTTCAGTGAAGTGAAGGCTTTTTAATTGTTTTGGAAAGCAGAAATTAATGTTAATCTTTCCAACGCAGTCTGGCACATACTGATACAAGTGGATGAGGGCGTACCCCGCCTCTCGCCCTATGAAAGCTGGGATAGGCTCCAGCAACCCCCGCTACCCTGAAAAGGATAAGCGGAAGCAAATGGATGGATGGATGGATGTAAACCAACTTTTAGGAACTTATTTCACCATTAGTTTAAAATCCAGTGTCTTGAAATGATTATAAAATCATTAACATATAAGGAGGAATAAAAAAAAACAAACAAAAAAAAACTCGGCAATAATTAAGGTCAAATGTTAGAAGAACAGTTTAATCATACATGTCACAATTCTGCTTCGAAAAAGGAGTTCGTTTTCTTCATCTAACATCTGGAAATGTACATAAGGCCACCTGAAAATGTACATGACTTTGACAGTGTGACAAAACTCATATGTTCATATTTATATAATTGACAATATTTTACATTGCTTTTGCTTACAAGGTAGTAGCTGTTTCAAAATACAGCACTCTTCTGTACAAAAATAATTCTCGTCATATCCTGTGAAGTTTCCATGGTAGCAGAGAGGACTAAATGCAGCCTCGATTTTAGTACAGAGTGTTTCTTTTTTTCCTTTTTCTATTTTTTTTAAACTGTCACACATCAGAAAGACTATCAACAGTGGATGTTACAGCTTCAGTACAAATAGAGGCTGGCCCAGAACAGATTTAAAAACAAAAACCATGCCAGATTGTGAAGCCATTAAGTTTTCATTTCCTTTAAAATAACACTTGATCAAATAAAACCTGTATACATTATATTCAAGGGGAAAGGAGTGATGAATATACACACATCTAAATGCACATTAGCCTTTTTCTCCCCCCTCCAAAGAAAAAAAAAAAGAAAAAAGAAAAAGTGTAAAAGACATCCCATTTACAGCATAAACGTTTACAAATGTACAACTGTACAGACAAATAAAAGCATCACTACAAATTTAGAGCAAGGCCTGTCAAACACCACAACTAGACTTTTTTTTAGTGAAACTAATAATCTTACACTTATTAACTGCACATATACTACATTTATTCTACAATTCATATGAAGCAAAGAAGCCGTCACTACGAGCGTTACAGGTGAATTGTATAGCTTTTGATGGCCCCACCGGCCTCCGCCAATCCACTTACATACCCAAAGAAAAAAAGAAAAAGGTTCTTTAAGCATCCCTTTCTTCAGCTACGTCTAATTAATTTCACCTCAAATGTACAAAACTGACCAAATTCCAGAAATAAAATAATAATAATCTTTTGGACTGCTCTGACCTTCAGGCGGTGGGGGTTCCCATCACTGCTGCAAGCCCCTCAACCAAAAAAAGAGCAACAATTTTCTCATACATAAAGATGCTATACATTGCTCAACTACTTCTACACACACGAGATGATTATTCAGTACATAAAGATACTGTTTTCTAGGGCAGTGTTCATCTCAAACTACAAGACAGATAAGATGTTACACAAAACAAAGGAAAAAAAAAAAAATCATTCTAAGGATTAAAACCTATTACAGCATGCCAACGCGTACCCCACTCCCACCCTGCTATCCCTGCAAAAAGCCCCACCCCACCCAAAGCTATGGTCATTTTATGTTAATATTAAACCAGGTCATACGCCCGCTGTACAACCAAACCTCATGCTCTGCTTCTTTAAGTTAAATGGTAGCGTTTTACTTCCTCCTGCATAAAAAAAAAATAAATCAAGTGATCGCCTGCATGAGGGGAGAGTAAGACGGCTCAAATGGTGCTCGGTGGATGTAGCAGCTCAGTCTGTCAGTACCAAAACATAATGCAGGCCACGAGCTGCTGGAGTAACCAAACACGCACACACTCCCGCAAAGGGTGGGGAAAAAACAAACAAAAGAAACAAACAAAAGAAAAAAACGAGGCAAGAAAAAAAAAAAAAAACCACCACTGGCAAACGCTACCCTAGAGTAAAGCACCAATCTCCAAACCCCGAGCTGGCAAAGCGGCCTCAAAGACCTCTGGGTGACTGTGGCACGTGACGCATAGTACTCGCTTGTGGATGGAAGGATTTCTGTCCATCCATACTATGTGATGCTATTTGAAAACTAATCCATCAGCTGCTTTGGCATGGGAAAACACTTTTTTTTTCCTTTTTCTTTTTTCTTTAAACTGTGTGTGGGATAATATACAAATATTATAATAAATTGCCTAAGCTTAATAAGAACAGCTGTCTGTTTACAAAAACAAATGGAATCGTGTTTTAAAAGGATCACTCAGTTTAGCCTTTATAAAGTCACTTGCTGGTGTTAATTGTAAGAACTGTAAATTTCAGCAAATGTGTAATAATTTCTTTTTCTACAGAGAATTTACAAGGTAAAAAACTAAATGTACAAGATAATATGAAAACCAGTCAAATACATCAATTACATCATTAACAATGGGCTTGTGCTTTACCCAGGGAAAAAAAAGAAAAGAAAAAAAACAAAAAGGAGGAAAACAAAAGAAAAACAAAAAGAATAAACAGCCTGCTGACTGTGCACCCCCTGGGGGCCATGCTGGGGACCTGCACCAGGGGTGGCAGAGTGGCAGGGGTCAGTTGTCACAGCGTTCTTAGGTGAAGTTGACTTGTCTTGTTTTTTTGGTAACTTGCCCCCCCACTTGATGGGATAACAGAGGGTGTCAAAGGCTAACCCCTATGGCTAAGGAGCACATCTCAGACAGAACAGGGGGTTTGGGGCTCCTACTCCTCCACTTGTTCAGGGGACCTGGGATGTGTACGTGACTACAGCAGACCATTCGCGGGACCGCCGATTGGACCCAGTTCAGATCCACTCTTCATGTAGTACTTCTCTAGCTTAGCTAGAATGTGCTTCCCGTAGGTGTACTTACGCAAAGTGGCAATGTGAGGCCGGATCTAAATAAAGAAGAGAAGAAGATAAATGCATTTAAAATCTGAAGAAGCTCAAATGAGTTTAAATCTGGAAGTAGGGGTAAAGAATGGGCATGCTTTTTAATAATGGGTAGCATAATTTACAAAATGCATATCATGTTACATTAAGTAAGTCTTGAAACTGCTGATGGAGATTGTGTATGTAAAAGGGTTACTGAATTCATGAGTTAAGTGATTTTCTTGCAGTAATCTACAAAAATTTCTTAATTTTGGAACCACAGGAGTCGCCACCTGTTGGCCAGCAGAAAGAATGCAGATATTTTGGCACCCAAACTATATTGTTCTTTAAAAAACAAAAACAGCATTAACTAGTTTGATGTCGACACAAGAGCCTTGACAAAAGCCTGCACTGATGTACACAAAGAGTAATGTAAAATATGTAAACAATGGACACAATGCTGGCAGATAGATACGGAAGTGCACACCCTAGTTATTACTTTGTTTTCATGCAAAATACAATCGCTGTACACATAATGGCACTGATAACATGACTAAAAACAGGTCTTTCTGGTCATATTTCACATATCAAGGGTCCTTGAAAGCACCAACACAGGCACTTGTTTGAACTTGGGCTGTTTCATGATCTGAATGAGCTGTCAACCCCCTGGATACCACTGATAAAACTTCACAGCTAAACTTTTACCAGCCAAGTCGATTTGACCACTTGTCAGAAACAGATTAGACTTTTTAAGCTTTGCTAAACCTTACAGAACACTGATAGAATTCACTGGATCAAATGGACCACGATCCACCCACTATCATTAACACTAACATGAGCACATTTAGTAGGCGACTCACCTTGTGCATGATGATTTTACGCTGAGCAGGTTCTGCCATGTCGATCATTCTTTGGACAACGTAGTTGGCGTACTGGTCTTTCATCATGGTGTACAAGGCGCTGTGGGGCCCGTCTTTCTGGCAGCACACTTCATCTATCAGCAGAGCTCTCTCTGCACGCGAGGAGTGGATCACACACTTTTCCACCACATTACTGGGGGAAAAATAAGCTACTGTTACTCAAGTTTATAACTGAACAGATGGAAGCAGAGAGATGCCAGCATATTAGAATCATTTTCTTTTGTTTTTGGCATCACGTGGTATGTATGCATGCGTGTTAGCAAACTGTAATTATTGGGCACAGTGGACTGGATAAGTGTTCAAACAGCTCAATTCGTTTAAGGTTTTGCTGACCCCAACTGTGAGGCAAGGGCTGGTTGTTAATGGGGTAAACTTGAATTTGGGAAATATAAAGGAGGATTACTATGACCTAGTTTTACACCTGACACGTGCAGGAACAGGTTATGTTTGATAAGAAAACAACATGTACAACATTACCACCTACTGACTATAGAAAATTCCAGTTAATCCTCCACTGGACCATCCCAATAACAGCATCTAGTTGTTAGAGTGTCTAAGCCCTTTGTCTATCAGCTTACAATCTACCAGAGACAGGTTTTTAGGAGAGGGGACCACTATTCCAAGCTTAATTTTTTCCCCCCTGTTGACTAACAGGATCAGTTTTACACAGCAATTTATTCCTAAAGCTGAGAACATTTATTGATTAGAATTCCAAACTTTTTCCAAAGAAATGAAACATGAAACACAAAACTCTAAACATATGCAATGATGGCCCACTGAGTCAGTCTTACCCACTCCATGTTACACTAAAGAGGATATTAGTCATTTACACATTCTTACAGCACTTTTCTACAAGTTACAAGGATCATTTTTCCCATCAAACACTCATACACTTGTATAGTGCTGTTTAATTGCAGCAGTTATGTTAAGTTTGTGAGCATCTTATTTTTTCCTAATATTACAGCTCATCTTTTAAATGTATAAAATATACCACTCTGCTGCCAGCAGACATGTATTTTTACAAACTGGCGGCACACACCACCATTTTTAATGGTAGCAAGACTGGAAAACCTTGTATTACGAAACAAGTAGACAACCACTTTTGTTTAACTACAGGAACTGAACGTGGAAGTCGTTTTGTAGTACTGGCTACCAGTAGAGGATTTGCCCTCATCTTTTGGCATCTCCCTTTAAAGATCCCCACAGTGGATCATCTGCCTCCATCTCGCCTACTTAGCCAACATCCTTTGCCCCGCATATTCACAATTATCGTGAGCCATGTAATTAAATTACTCAAACTAATATAAATTAAAGGTCCAAAGTCGGCCTAAAGTCATGTTTGCTCACTGACAAACACATCACATCCACAAGAGCGAAAACCAACATGACCGCCATAACAACTCGTGCAGACACATTTAGTTCAACATAGACTTGTCTTTTAAAATATCTACTTGCCTAATGTACTCACATTAAGAAAGCACTTTTCTATTCTTATGGACCACTCAAGGCACTTCACTGCATATCTCATCTTAACCAAGCATTCAATCATAATTTTATGCTATACACTTCAAGCACTGTACCTGCCTAAAATGAATATCTTCAGAGTGTGAGAGGAAGCTCGAGGAAACCCATGTAAGCACAAGGTGAACTTACAAACTCCATACAGCAAGGCCTGAGCCAAACCGGAGATTCACTTGTTGTGAGGTGATAGCAGTAACCACTGTACCATCATGCCACCGCCTATACATTACAAAAGAATTTACTCCAAGCTAAGCAAATGGACACTTGCCCTGGACAATCTCTGCTTTGAAAACAAAGAAACCTAAAATTCAGCATTCCCATCCTACTCGACTCAAGAAAGATCTAGGTTATGAACTTCCTGCTATTGTTACCACATGGTTACTGATAAATTATCTCTTATCAGGTCCAAACGTGAGTCGTTAAACTGCATGTTATAAACCTACTATTAACCGGTTTTTACAAATGTAAACACTCGAAAGATGTAGCAGAACAACAACAGCGTATCGACTGATCTTCAGATGATATGCATCAACTTATGTTCCTTAGTTATGCTAGTGCAAATCACTCACATCTCTGTCCTCACACCAGCAGAAGTGTGAAGAAACACAGCTGCTCTAATATTGACAGTAATGTGAGTGCTTTCCCTCCCACAACAGAATATTTATTTATTTTCACAATCATTTCACGAAATGAACTTTAGAATATTCACGGTCTGCCTTGTTAATGTCAAAATCCGCAAACAATATACAGCCCACTCTTAATCCATACAGACTGCTTAGCTTACCTTGCAAATTTATGCTGGCTCAGGACAAGAACCTTCCCGCGCACCTCTGCCACTATCTTGCTCTTATCTTCTGGTCTGCCATGCTCCAAAACATGCTGAATGACGTAGTTACCGTACTGATCCTGCAGGAGGCAACAGAGGTGTAAGGGCAAGGCAAAGTCATCCCAACAAGATTAATCACAACAACAAAAAACAAACAAACTGTGAGATACAACTGAACATGATTGATACTCATGCACTACTTTTTCACCCCCATTGGCCTCGATTGATAGGGTAATCATGCAACTCTACAATGATTGGCCGATGAATGAGCGACACCTCCATTTGTAGTATTTCGAATACCCTTACGTCATCACTGCGGAAGGTCAGACAAAACAGATGCTGCTGGTTTGTGTTGCTGACCAGGTAACACAACCAATAGCATCTTTGCCCCTTCAGAAACGGGTGATAGACAGTTACGGGTGTAATTTTAGTGCGACAAGATGGAGACAAAAAATGAACTGACCAAACAACAAATAACACCACTCAACTGCCAAGCTTGTTAAAGTGGTAATTTGTTGAGTAGGTAATGCGAACTCCACCTTTAAATTTGAAGTATTTGCCTCCCAAACCATTTTCTGTCAATCTGTTTTAACATGAACTTGCATTATGTTGGTTTTAAAACACCATTTGTGAACTATTTGGTTATAAGAGTTTCAAACTCCTAGATTTGAATCAAACAATTATAATTTTAGCAAAATGAGAATTAAAAAAAAAAAAAGGAAAAAAAAAGGGAAAAACAGACTGATCAAAAAATGCTGTAGGCAAAAGAGGGATCATCAGACAGCAGATTAGCATGTCCCTAAATCCTCTGGCATAAAGCAAGAAGGGAGGAAAAAGGAAGAACAGGCAGCTCAGTGGGTTAGGAAAGGACCATAAGGGTTGGGAGTTGGAAAACTATTTAAATGTTAAATTAGATTCTTTACAGAAGAAAAGAATAAAAAAAATAAAGAGGGAAAAAGGAAGTGAGCACAGGGACATCCGCGATAGAGGCAAATTGCTCTGACCTTGAACAGTGCATCACGGGACACTGTATAATATGTTTTGGGTGTCATCTCCAATGAAACGCCTTGATATTTCTAGATGGAATAAGTGAGGGGGGCAGGTGGATGTTTAAATAATCACATATGTCAGATGTAATGTCAGCTAACAGCACAATTACATTCATCCTTACACTTAGCAGACCACAACTACACAGGAACAATGACAGGCTAAAAATATGAAATGTTCAAACATGAAGGACGCATGCAAATACGCGACATAAAATGATAAATGTCAACAACGATCAGTCGCAGCTAGCCAAAATAAGGTAGTCAGCGTGAAGTTTAAAATGGGACAGAGAGGAAACTGATGTGCACACCTGGCCCAGCTGTTCAGAGTGCTGATGAAGCTCTTCCAGGATGGGCAGAGTTTGCTCCTGGGTGCAGTGCTCCAAGATCCTTTGGATAACTCTGCAGCCATAGGGGTGTGTGGAAAGTACAAAAACCTAGAAAATAAAAACAGTGCTTATTGTACCATGTAGTGAAAGAACATCAGAGGATTTAGATATTAATGCAACCCTACAGCTCACATGAGTCTACAAAAAATAAATTATACTGAATGGTAGTTACGTTATAAGGCAGCTTATTGTATGGCAGCTATTCTAAAAAACAAAAACAACAAACACTAAAAAACAAAAAAACAAAAACCCACCTGTCCTTGGAAGGCATCAATAATGAACTGAAGAGCCTGAGGCTGGACACATTCAATGCACTTCTGTACCACATGGTTCCCATTCTGGTCTTTCACACACTTCAGCACATGGCCGTCAAGCTCACGGACAATGTCGCTCTAAATGGAAGAAAATGATATCAAATTAAATCAAAGCCTTTAATATGAAGGACGAATAAAATGCTTTTCAATAGAAAATAAAACTGTTATAAAGAAGTGAAATCTCACTTACAATTACCTGCTGGTCTGAGGAAATTGACTCCAGGGCTTTCTGAATGACCCTGCAACCATACATCTGCAACGCCAGGGGAAGGACGTGTCCGCGGATACGGGTGGCTAAAGCAAGTTTCTGTTCTGCACTTCCAAACTGAGACGACATAAAAAATATATTATATATGCCGGAATCTATTACAATATGAGAGTAATTTATTATAAATGGAATCGAGTTTAGTTTATACTGTGCAGTTACTCAAGACACATGGATGAACTTTAACACTCCCAACCTCAAAGAACTTTTGGATGACATAATTCCCAAATACATCAGTCATCAGTTGGTATGCTGCTTGCAAAATCTCTCCAAACACCATCTGTCTCTCAGCAGGAGTGGCCCTCTCTAGCTTCTGCTGGATAAATCTAGATTGGAGAAAGCAGGGAACGATTAAAAAGACACTTCAAAGAGTGGACTCATTATAAAAAGTGTAACACTGCAATGTAGTTTTTTGCACGTTTTCTTTTTTGGCTAAGGCTTAAATTTACGAGACCTAAAAGAAATTCATTATTTCCCAAAAGCCTATATCTTTAATTGTGCGGTGGCATTTTCAAGCATTAAATTAGGTCCGTCACCTGGATCCGTGCTGGTCTTGAGAGAACTCCACCATGTGTCCAGGCAAGTCACGGAGCTGGAGGTTTGGAAAACGGTTGTTCCTGAAGTCTTCCAATAGGCGGCTGCGTCCAGATGGCATGACATCAGAGCGGCTGTAGCGGGGCCGTGAGGGAGGGAACAACTGGCTGCTGGAATTGAACAGACTGGACGTGCTGCCTGTGCTCCGGTATTTGGCCTCGGCTCCGGGAGCTGCAGAAATGTAACGGCCACTGCCATTTGTCAGGCCACCTAGGATTAAATAAGACAATTTTTAATATTTCATTTACAAGCATCAATTTCACTGAAGGTGCCCCTAACAGGGGATGACAACTTAAAGTTCTATTCTATTTAAGTCACATCCTCACTTACGAACAGGATCAAATGCTTCTTTATTTTCTACCTCAAAAGCAACAGTCGACCAAAAGGTAAACATCCCTTCTTTAGGCTTACCTAGGTGAAGGCTTGAAGAGGATCCATGGGAAGAGGGCAAAGATGGCGGAGGAGTGAGTGGGGAATGACCTGGTGTAAGGCCAATGGGGCTGGGTGAAGAGGAGTAACCCAGGCTGTTATAAAACGGCTGCCCAATGGGAGTTAAACTGCTGCCACCTCGTTTGTATAGGTCAGAACTTGCCAACAGGGAATCCCTGCGGGATACACTGCTACTGGTCGAGCTGGATACTGAAAAAAAAATCATAAACAAAGAACTTTTAGAACACAAAACTTAAATTTAACACAAGACCATTTTCCTCTCCAAGCAGCACGTTGTTTAGCCACTGACCAGAAGAGCCGAAACCCCCAAGAGCAGAGCCCAGGCCAACGCCAAGAGATCCGCCGGTGCTGCTGAAGCCCAGGGAGGAGCTTGGGGGTGGTGGGGCAGCAGAGGTGTGAGAGAAAAGAGAGCTGCTCTGAGAGGTGTTGGGGACTGATCCAGATCCGTAGAATGAGCTGGAGGGCAGGCCGCTGCTGGGTGGAGGAGCCTGCTGCTGCTGTGGCTGAGGTTGAGGCTGAGGCATGGAGCGGTACAGTCCGTTGGCTGGAGGACCAGACATGTTGTTACCGGAGCCAGATGCAGACACTGCTGCTGCTGATGGAGAGAGATTATTGTGAGAGGTCAAAAGTGAGGAAAGATCACATGAGTGGTATTAATCAAGTAAGAATAGAAAGAAGTGGGTGTGCGGGACAGACATTATAGTAGGCATATCTAAGAAGAAGAAAAAAAATCCCATCTCTATTAATAATACACACACACATCATTTGCACAACACACCACACAGAAGCGCTCATTAAGTTATCGTTTTGAGAAGAGGACATCTATACAAATCAGATCGCTACATGTGTGCATGCAACTGTGCCTACTCAAAACAGCAGATCTGGCAGATTGCTAGAGAACTGCTAAGTGGGTGAAGTCATTTTACCATAGATAAACACAAATGACAAGCTCAAATATAAACAAATAATAAAAAGCAGAATTAAACATAAACATATTCAGCTATTTTTAGGAGAACCACTTTTGCATGTTAAACCATCAGCGTGAACACATTTTGTGGAAGCTGGAACTTCTTGGCTGAATCATTTTTTCCACCTATATTTAAAGGTTACTGCTTATGTGTGGTGATTAAACTCGGGGTAAGAGGCTTGGGAACATATTAAAGTAATGAATTTATTCACTAAAATAGCTAAATGAAACATTGCTCGGTGTGTGTGTCCTCCCCACACGCAGAGTAGAGACAGCAGTGGTAACTGCAGGAGACAAACACTGCGAACAGACCAAATTTAAACCAAACTATGTGATCTGCTTATCTGATCAACGTCACATTTGGTTTTGTGAAGAAGGTGTCAGTGGACAAAATAGGAGACATAGTCCACAGGAGATGGAGAGTGATCTTTTTAGAGATTTGAATCAGATAAAATACAGTCACCGAATTCCAAATAATCATCTCTAATGCAATTAGATTAGCTAAATGTGAGTTATATAGTGCCAAATCACAACAGTTACCCCAAGGCACTTGAATGCAATGTAAAAACCCTACAACAAACCATCCACAGATCCCCTCTGAGCAAACAGTTGGTGACACAGGAGAGGAAAGAATTCCTTAATTAAAACAAATGTTTTAAAAAATTCCTACCAGCTTGTGCCGCTGCATGGTTGATAAGAAGTGGGGTTTGGACTAGACGAACGGGCCCACCCAGACCGGTGCGGGCACCAGGGCCCATTACCAAAGCTCCAGTCTGGTCATAGTAAGCTGCAGGGGCCAAAACCTGATAACCTGAGGAAGAAACAAGACACACAAAGAGGAGAGAGTTAGTAATTACAGTTTACTACTACTACTACTACTACACAACATACTTGGAGTGTTGTTAGAAACAGTGTTTCAGTATTTTGTAACTACTACTCACACACTGTATACACTTAATGTGAACCAATAAGGGAAAAAAAAATGTATTTGGTTGTGAGTGTCTTTGGCTACATTGCAGTATAGCATAAGTATGAAATGGTAGACCAACCAGGCATTCCTGTGTATGCCAACGCAGGGTTTGCAGCAGCTGCTGCAGCTAGGGATTCCTGCTGGCTTTGCTGGCCTTGCCCAGGTGTAAGAGGTCGCTGGTTGGTTCCAGTGCGCATCACCTGGCAGAAACGGTTAAAAATACTGTTACTGGCTTTGTACTGAAAGGGAAGCAATCTCAACTTGTTGTCACAACAAAAAATAAACAAGTGACTAAATGAGGAACAGCTAAAATATAGCTAACGTGTTTTACCACGACTGTGTGGTTTGATCAGACGTCACGAGTTGCTTGGAAACATATACAACCAACCCCAGGACAGTTCTGAATCAAATGCACAACTGATGGATCTACGCCGCAGAAGCCCTGCCCACTTTTAACTTTTCTAAATTTTAACAGCAGGTCTTCATGGATGACTCATTTTCAGGGTCATCCTGTCATCATAAACATTCTGCACACGATAACTGGTCACAGACAGATGACTGAAACCAAATCCTGACGCACATTTTTCATACAATCATACGAGGCCAATGAAGTAGGGAATTAATACTGGTTAGAGAAATTATTCCTACCTGTGGTTGCCCTGGCCCTGGCCCTTGACTGGATGCTTGCTGATTGGCTGAGTGATTGGCAGTAGATGCAGGCTGCTGCTGGAAAAGATTAGCTGGGTACACACCCCAAGGGACGCCGTAGTACTGTGGTGGAACAACTGTGGGGCCTGGAGGAGGGGAGAGAAAAAAAAAAAAAAGAAAAAAACCCCCACACATCTGAAGTTATACATTGGATCTGGGCAGAAGATAATCAAGAGTAAAAGAAATAAAATAATAATGATCTGTTGGATTTCAATGAGAACTTGCGGATGAACATGTGCCATGTGATCACCTGCAAGCGTTGCTGCTGCTGCCAACCCAGCAGCAGTGTAGGGATCAGCTCCAGGTGGGGCAGCATTAATGATGTAAGGGTTTGGCACAAACGCAGGAGCAAGGCCAGCTGAGTAACATGAGGAAGAACAACAATATAATTCTCATTCAAAAGTCTACGCAACTCAAACAGAGACAACCTGAGAGACAAAGCAGTTAAACAATACTGCAAAAGAATCTGTCTCACCAAGATGCTGCTGCTGGGCTGCAGCCAGTGCATATTGTTGCTGCTGAGCTGCAGTGAGCTGTTGAACAGTCAATGGATTAGACCTCTGGAACAACTGGAAAAAAATAAATATATAAAAATCAACAAACTGCTCACAACCTGCAGAGCAAACTACCAAACAGACTTTGTGCATTTAACAGACCTGCTGCTGAGAGTTGTAGTCAAACAATCCAACTGGAGTCCCTGAAGAGTCCACCTGAATCTGATTACCAGCATAGTCAAATTGTAAGGACTCCACACCAGCTTGCTGCTCCATACCGCCCATGTTCTGGGCCTCCTGGTTCTGGAAATCCTCAGCTTGGACCTTGTTTTGGGAGGGGTTCTGCTGTTGGAGAGCATGAGGGTGGTGGTGCTGCCCCATCATCTCCAAACCTGTCTGACTGGGACCCATCCTCTCCACAGCCTCAGTGGGAGAAGCTTGACGGCTTCCAGGAGTTGGGCTAAAGGAACAAAAAAACAAAAACAAAAAAAAAGTTGAGTTTAAAAAGGACCACCATATTTATACACAACTGTTATTTGGGGGCGAAACAAAAGTCTAAAAACCCTCAAATCAACTTATAAATGTTCATATTTACACAGTCTGATATTTTATATTTAGTTTTTAACTGAAAAGCTATATATACTATATTAGAGATAACCTTTTTTCCATTTTCTACTTGTTAACTTGTACCATTGTAAAAGGAAAACCTACTTGAAGTCTTTACAGTCTCTGTCCATGCCGTTCAGCAGACCTCTTCCATTGGCTTTAGTAGGATCACTCTCCTCTCCCACCTTCATCTCAGGGCTTTTGTCGTCTTCAAAAGGCGACACCTTCTCTTGCGCATCACTTTTCTCTCTCCCATCTTGGTCAGCATCTCCTGCACCCTGTGTAAATACGAAAGACAGAAAAACATTTAGACAAAGAAATGCAATCTCCACTTTTGGTAAGATCGATGAGATGCATGAGTTTGGCTTACATAGCCTCCATTCCTGTAGCGGCCATCCATCTTGTCACCAGGGGACGAACTCAGGACGTACTCCACCATGCTCACGCCGAGACCTCCGCCTTCTGAGCGAGGTGAAAGCACAGAATTGGCATCACCATTGCCATGGAAACCCTGGCCTGGCCGTCGCTGCACCATGATTGGCTGAGACACTGAATGATCTGAACGAAAAGTCGTAATCAAATACAGTGGCAAGCGAAGTGAACCCGTGGAATTACATGTTCTTCTGCGTTCACTGGTCAGAAAATCTGATTTGATCTTCATCTGAGTCACAAGTAAACACAAACGTGATGTTTGACCCAAACAATCTCTTATGTCCTTCTTAGAAGGACATAAGAGGTTTTTCCCTATGTTAATACTGTCCATATGTACATAGCGCTGCAGAACTGTACCACCCCCAGCATGTTTACACTGAGTAGGAGATGCTCTGTATCTCATTGTACAACTGTATAGTGACAATAAAGGCATTCTATTCTATTAAAACTTTAGATTGCTGGTAGAAAAAGTAAGGGAACCCTTGGATTTGACAAGTGACTGAACCTCCTGTGGCAGCAGGTTTCATTTCAAAGGTTTTCTGCAGCCACAATCAGGAGGAAGTTTGAGTCATTCTTCTAGAATTGTCTCACTTCAGCCATGTTGTCAGGAATGAATCTCTAGCGTGAATTATCCTCGAGGTCATTCTTCAGCACCTCTATTAGATTAAGAAACTGGGCTCTGACTGAACCGTTAGACCTTCTTCTTGTAAAAGGAACCTATTATACTTTAGCTCATTTTCAGCCATATGTGAATGGGCACAATGGTCAGTGCTCATAATAAACATGCCTATTTCAAATAATCAGCTACGGTTAGTAAGTAATCCCTTAATGCCATACGCTCAGGATTCAGACTGTTCTAAATGGTTAATTTCATTTTTTCCCTCCTCTTAGCTCTGTGTGAGGTCACTTAGAGCAGATGTGCTTAATATGGTCATCTCATGCACACATATCTGGCTGCAAGCTCAGCAGCTCCACTCACCTGCTGTTCTAACCATCCGTTTACGAGGGACAACCAATCAGATAAATGTTAGATAAAAAGGGACAAATTAGATAAATGAAGAATAATTTGAACTCAGGCAAAGGAAGCGCAGGCTTTACTTTGCAGTTTAGCTACATCATTCAGTACTGCAGTAGTGCTGTAAAGGATCAAAGTACTCCTTTAGCAAATATCAGGCAAGGTTTTATGGACAGCAGTGGCGCTCTAACCAGCGATTTAACTACCCATCATGTCCACGCAACGATTGTGATTGGCCTGTTCAGTACTGCCGATTCTTCCTGTGCATGTCCAGCTGCTTTTTTGCTGTAGTTTCTTAATTCATCAGTGAGAGAATAACTGTCATCACTTCAATATAAGGAATAATGATCATAGCATCAATGTAAGGATTCACAAATGTCTGCAAATTCCTGCAGGCAGGTTGTTGAACCTATCAGAATAGATGTGAGGGAATGCAGCAGGTGAAAAAAAAAAAAAAAACTTGAGTGGGAATTAAAGACGGGACAAAAAGCCCCACCATTTTATTGGTTTCTATTGGATGACTCCGCATACAAATGACCAGGACATAACCATGAGGTAATCCGCACAGAATGTATTTTGCACAAGCGTAAATGCCGCCAATGAAGTCAGGCACTTACACAGGCTACACCACAGGCTCTACAAACACTCACTGCAGATCAGAATCAGTCCTTACTGTCCTAACCAGGAATGATTTATAGATGGTATTCGTGAAGGGAGATGTTTACCATTTTCTAACATAGCCTAGTCAAAATGCACCATGATATATAATTGAAAATAATTGTGTGTGTGTGTGTGTGTGCAATTTCAACAAAAAATTAAAAAAAAGCAGAAAAAAAACCCCCTGGTTTGTTTATAATTGTAACTCAGATGAAGATCTGACCTGATTTTAAGACAAATTCCAAAGGGTTCACTTGCTTTTTCTTGCCACTGTATTTATATCATTCTAATAGTATTTATATCAAAACGTTATAGCTGGCAGGCACCTGTGAAAACTGAGATATTCCATTCCCAAACACATGACTGGAACAGATATCTTAACCACATATGTAATAATTAATTAATTAGAGAAAAGACATTTTAGAAGACACTCACGAGATGATCCCCATGCATTGTCTCTCCACTCTTCTCCAAGAAGCATTCCTTTCCTGCCATCTTTGGCCAGCTCATCAGAATCCCAGAGCTTTTTTGCTGGCAAAAGCTAAGAAAAAACATAAACAGCGTTTCTGAATGGCGTAGAAAACCATTTGCATTTATGATTTCAAACTGCGAGTGCAAAGGGAGACGTATTTTCGACTCCATATGTGAATGAGATGTTTGAGAACAGAATGTTTTGAGGACAAGTTAAACTCACTAATAATTAATTGGCATAATTGGAAGATATCAGGAGAAATCACTTAATTGAACAATCTAAGCTTCAATTAGACTGTATTTGTACACATACATGGGGAGTCACTGACTACTAATTCATAAGAATTTTTTATTGACATAGGATTCAAATGTTTATTATTTAGTGTAAGTTGGACTAATTACCTATTATAGACACTAATTACCTATTATTGGGGCTATTACACTCAAGACCTTTGAGCAACTCTCAGTTAACTTCAAGTCAGTTCAATAATGCTTTTCTAAAGAATCCGTACAGGTTTTCTGCTTCAGACTCTTCTTAAAACAGATTAAATTCTAACTGGAATCTTTTTCCCCCTAGAGTGCTCTGGCGAGGCAAACAAGTCAATGACCCAATCCACACTGCCAGGAAAAAAGGCTGGTTTAGCTTGAAGATTTCTAGGAAAGTCGTGCCAAGTTTTATGACCATTGTTAACAAGATTTGTCATTAGTAAGAAAGTCAATGCTGCAATTGATGCTTTAACCAAACACCAAGTAAACAATTTATTTGCTTAAGTGAACCGGCTATTTTAGTCTTCTTGTTTCATAAAATGAGAAAAACACTCCTATACAACACAGTTTTACCATCACTGTACACTGCACATAGATTTACATGCAGCAGCCTGGGGGGTGGGGGGGTCTGAGACATAAAATATGAGAAAATGTAACTACATCAGTGTAGCACACAGAGGAGCACAAGGTGTTTATCGTTTATAAAAAATTATTTGTAATAGCGTTAAGTCAAAAAGCTTTCAGAAAACCCTTTATTAGGAAAACAAACATTTAGTGTTGTTCAGTTGTTTCTGTATTGTGCATATGCTTGCTAACAATAAAACAGGGACAGGTGAGGGTTTAATGGATTTCAATCAAAGGTAAGATGAACTAGTTTACAATAAATCTGTATTTTAAAGACTCTGTGGTGGTGGTGGTGCAAACATTGAAGCTTTAAAACTAGTTCAGCATTTCTATAGTTTCTCTAGACGTGGTTTCACAGGACTGAAGAAAGCCATACTTAAATCTGGCCTCTGTAAAATAGCAACCTGCGGATGTGTACAGTCACTTTTCAATTCTAGAGCGGCGGGGAAAGAAGAAAATAATTAAATAATAATCACAGAAAACTGTATAAGAGTGCGGAGAGTGAACGATATGCAGACAAAAACTGTTCTTACCTCTCCCATCCCCCTCGACTCCAAAGCAAGAGCTTGAAAATCATAGTTCATGTCATCCACTGCACGGACCTGAGACAGATTTAAAAAAAGGTTTTTCATGAACATTTTAAATTAAACAGCAATGATTTAACAAAATGTAATCTGTAAAATTGTACCTGCAATGCTAAAGAGTGCTTGTTGTAAGAATATGTGACAATTCAATAGAATACATAAACATTTATAGCAAAAAACTAACATTTATTCTTTAATCTGTGCAATTGTTTTTACATTACATAACATTCTGGTTTTGTGAAATAAGCCAGACATGAATTATGATTTACACAGCATTTTGAATATGCTGTTAAGCCAATAAGAGAATGTTGTTTAATTCTCTTACATGAAATCCCAAAGCAAATAGTCCTGACTGTTCGACTTATGTTAAGGTATCTGACACGACCATTTAGCTTTGGTTATTGCATGACCGCCCCCCGGCCCACTATACACGATGTGTTAAGGAAAACTGAAAATGAAAATAAAAATCTGAGAAGGACCTTTAAAAAAAAAAAAAAAACATTTTTAGACTAGGACCTATGCAGAGCTAAATACAAAAAAAAACATCTGCACAGACTACACATGATGATTTATAAAGAGAGGCGATTACACTCGTTCTTCTGCAGGGCACAATAACTTGCTTGCATGAAACAGAATAGTTTGAATGAAGTTTGAAAGAAAAAAAAAATGAAATAACCTAAACACGAGACGGGGCTTTGTATGTAGCAACAAAAAAAGCTGCAGAGCAGCTTAAACTACTGTTGAGACAGGATGTGAGGTGTGGCTATTAAATGACAACACAAAGACAGGTTTTGAAATTAAAAGAGGATTGGTTTCCAGTGGCTTAACATTACTACAGACAGATTATAGACATTTCTCAATATATGGTCAGCAAAAAAGAAGCCACAGCTGTGGGAAAATATCTCCATCCATATCAGTATGCTGAGCTGTCCTAGTGAAGCCATTTCTGGCCAACTACATGTCAATCCTCCTTATTAATCTGATCCAAGTACCACACAACTTTATTTATTTTCCTTCAAAATCACATTTGCGTTTAAGAGAAGCACTTCCAAGTCTGATCCAACAGTGTAGAATAAAACCATGAAGCCTCTTAGACCACTAATGGAAGAAGACTTACTACGCTGCTTTGATCACTGAAAGCCCCGAGTGCAGCAGTCTGTAGGTGCAGAAGGGGAATAATTTGAAGGGGAACAGAATTAAAAGACAAGCTTTCTTCATTAAAGTTTAATTGCAGCATTTATTTCATTATTTAATAACCACACTTTCTATTACAACTCTGGCTCAGTCAACATGGTGAGACTCACACCCCTGTTGTGCTGACACAATGGCCAAAACTATAATCTTGCTGATGTCTGTTGTAAATCAGAAGCAGTGCTATGGCTTTTTAATACTTGTAGTAACAGACTGGTGATCTCTGAAATCTGCACTCCAACCTTCACCTCACGTTTGACTGGGCAAACGGCTGTGGACAGACCTGTCTGTAACTCCAATAATGACAAAGTACTACATTTAAACAACAGATTGTTTACTTGCTGTTTATACCAATATAACAATCAGTGAAAATTGAGGACTTGTTCTGTCTGGTAATTATACTAAACTGCACATCACCGCATGCCTTAGCTCAGTAAAGCAAAAAACAAACCAACTCTTTACCTGATCGATATGATTGGCATCCCCAGTAGGCCAGCGATGCTTGCTAGGTGTGCAACTTACAAGCTGCTCCCCAGGCTGCCTCTGAAAGAAGTACCCTACTGTGGCATCATCCTGAGACCTCCCGCTCAGCGGGGGCTGTGGGGTACCTGGGGTAGGGTTAGGAACCCTGTCCATGCCCTGTATGTGTGGCCCTCCAGGAGCCTGACCAGCTCCGCCAACTGTGGCTAGGGGCCCTCCGCCATGAACTCGGACACCCCCAGACTCAGGAGCACCATTTGCATGCAGCATCCCACCTCTCGTCTCCTGCCAGGCCACGTCATTCATACCTAGGATGCTGCATGGAATGCTCATTCCACGGGAAAGCCTAAAAAACAAAACAAAACAAAAAAAAAACAGACAAAGTAAGATTTACTCACTGAAATGTATATTTTCTTATTTCAATTTCACTTGCATAAAATTGAAAGAAATGTTATTAGAGGATATAGTATCTCTGTGTGTCCTGTACAATTACATATAAATGACCAATAAGAAACACTAGGCTATAAAAGACTCAGATGTAATTTTAATTTCATTATACAATGTAATATAGCACCCATTACAATTTGGTGTTTACGGCATCATAATTGGCTTTTATGAAAGCCCATGCTATTATAATGCGACCATCGTGGACTTATTAAATCCTCCTTGAGCCTTCAGACAAAAATCAGCTTTTACATCCCATTAAAGATGTTCATTCAAAAGAATAATAAAATGATAACTAATGCTTTTAATTTTCCTCGCTGGGACAAGACTAATTCCCGAGCTGCTAACAACACGCCAGGGATATAGTTGTCTAATTCTGCTTAACTATTTGTGCTACAACAGGTTAGTGATGTTTTGTTAAATTAAAAAGATCGGGCCAAGAACGAAACAAGCGACTGACATCGATGTTGGTGGCTTATAAGAGCAACACCGCTCGGTAACGTTGTCGTTAGCCAAATACTAGCTGGTGACCATACGACTGGGGATACCAGCAATAAAGCTTCGACTACCACACAGACATACACGCATTAATGCAAATATTCAGCGATAGCCACGACTGATTCCTGAGATGATGTAACGAGCTTGCAACAACGTATTCAAATTTGAAACTGTTCATTGTGGCACACCAATTAGCAGCTTGGCTAGCTAGCCTAGCCTAGCCAGCAGCAAGCAAGCCGCTGTAATAATAAGGAAGCTACCTTAACGACTTTCAGCGGGGATTTGCGTAAATGTTTATTTATTTATTTATTAGATTGTGTTTGCTTTGTGGTTTGTTGCCTCGCTTCTTTTTATTGTTTACTTTTTCCCCCTCATGTATTTCTGCTAGCGGAAATCGAACATGATTAAAGCTAACCATTGGTTCTCTGGAGCTAACTAGCTAGTGCTAACCGCAAAGGGCCTGTTGTGTTTATTATTGGTGAGACATCAAAGAAATTCGCTTAATTCACTGCTGTTTTATAGTCAGCGGCTGGCTTTGCATGTTAAATAGAACACATTTTCTCGACTTATTATCCGATATTCACTGTACACAACACGTTACGGCCATCTCCGAGAGCTAACAAACGGTAATAGCCATGTTGCTGTTGTTAGCTAAAACATCAGCCAAACACTGAGTGGCTAAACAACATGGCCCCCCTTCAAGTTCCAAACAGAGGGGCCTTAACCGCTAAACAAAAGGGGAAATACTCGCACGGCGGCAACCGCTTCCAAAGCAGTCCCCTTACACAGCTTTGGATTCGGTTGTGAACAGATGTGAGGGCATACTCACGCGTTGTCGTGTCGAGAGAGGATCTGTGCTTGTTGCACGCCGTCAACCCGATTCTATATTGTTTTGTTTCCTTGGAGAGAGAGCGGTGATTTAGCAAAGCTTGGTAGTCAAAGCTAACAGTTTGTCTACGCTAGTGCCCCCTCCCTGTAAATAGCGTGAACTACGTAGACATGCGTATAACAATGTCAGTGTCAATTTGCCTTCCCAGCGTGCCTTTTGAGCACCAAACCCCCCTGTGTTAGGCAACCTAATATGTGGTATCATAGAAATTAGTCTCAGAGACACTTCCCCACCCAAAATCACTCTCACATTTCATAGGATAAACTGGCTTAGTCTCAATGAATCCTCATTAGACAGCCGGCTCATGTCATTTTGTGAACAAAATGCTGACTCAGTAATAAAAGTAGCAAGCCAATGTGTCCGGGAAGCTTATTTGAAAGGGAGGTTTCAAAGAAGAAGTACGTGTATATTTATCGTCATCGTGCTGTGATTTTAGTTGATTTCGCCTGATTCTCAGTCGGGTGGATCCTCGTGGTCAGTGACCCCTCCCTCCTCCAACGCGAGAAAAACCCGACGGGACCCAATCACCTTTTCCTTTACAGACGGTGATCTCACCTCCCCATTTCCGATTGGATTGCTATATTTAGGAAAACGCCTTACGCTTTATAAAGAGATTGCTGTAGTTTGTGGCAAAAGGCTCCGGAGTTAGTGGAAAGGACTGACTTGAGGGACGAGTTTGACCAGTATCTGCTTAGAGTTTAAAAGCTACTGGACTTGACACGACTAAATATTTACAACTGCCGACTTTGGACTGAGCCGCGTTTGAGAGGGAGAACTGGGAGAGGCAGCAATGGCAGACATACGAAAGAAACTTGTCGTGGTGGGCGACGGTGCATGTGGGAAAACATGTCTACTGATAGTATTCAGCAAAGACGAGTTTCCAGAAGTGTATGTCCCGACTGTGTTTGAGACGTACGTGGCGGACATAGAAGTGGATAACAAGCAAGTCCAGCTGGCTTTGTGGGACACAGCCGGACAAGAGGACTACGACCGGCTGCGGCCGCTCTCCTATCCGGACACCGACGTCATTCTGATGTGCTTCTCGGTGGACAGCCCGGACTCGTTGGAAAACATCCCTGAAAAGTGGGTCCCTGAAGTGAAACACTTTTGCCCGAACGTACCCATCATATTAGTGGCCAACAAGAGGGATCTCCGCAACGACGAGAACGTGAAGAATGAGCTGTCTCGGTTGAAGCTGGAGCCAGTGAAAACAGAGGATGGCCGGGCCATGGCCACGCGCATTGGCGCATATGACTATTTGGAGTGCTCAGCTAAAACCAAGGAGGGGATCTGGGAAGTATTTGAAACGGCAACACGGGCAGCTTTACAGAAACGACAAACAACCACAGGTGGCTGTTTCAAATGCTGTGTTTTAATGTGAACTGACTCTGGCTTGGGCGGGGGGCTACTGGGACGCGCAAGAACAGACGTTTCCTGCGTTGGGGTCCGTGTCTGGGCATGTGAGGGCAGTGACCATTGTTCGGACACTCCCTCGAAGTCGGATGCCTTTGCTTGAACCAAAACCGATGACTGCAAACGGAGCTGATTGGAACACACACGAATATCTGATGGCGGGTGTAATGTGGGGGGGGAATACACTGGTTATGGCATGTTGGCATGTTCTTTTTGGGGTCACATGATCCCAGTCTGACTGAAAAAAAAAATCACAAAGCGTTTGATTTCAGTGGGCGACTTTTCAATCCCCTTCTGCATCTTCTCGTGTAGACGAGAAGGCCTGCTGGAGAGTCGAGATGACTCTGCTCTCTTTTTTTGTGTTTTAAAGTTTGCATAGGCCACAAGCCTTATTGCCAAGGTTATACTGTGTAACAAGTAAAAGCAAGAAGAACAAATGCACTGTTATTTTTAATATGAGGTAATTGAAGTTTGATCTTGCACAAGACCAGGATGCTACAGCAACTCATAGAAAGAAAGATTGTTAAAACTACAAGTCATTGCCAACTTGTTGTTGTTTTTTTTGGGGGGGGGGTGTTTGTGAGCACAGCTAAAAATAACGTATAATTTTGATTCCACAGTATTAAATGTCTTTTTCCCCCTTCAAATTATGCAGCAGGTTAGATTTGATTCAAGGTTGACAAGACTACACCTGGACCAGTCTTGAAAAGGGCTAACCACAATGTCCTGTAGTTTTGCAGGTTTTCAGGCAGAAACTCTGTCAGTATTAAGTGGGAGTCACGTTTTACAACTTTAGTTTTTTATGTTGCTAAGCATGCTTTTACACAAGTTTTAACTCATTTTGGCTAATTTATACAAACACATTGTCCTCTGTACATATATTTCTGTACAGCACATCTGAACAGCATCTTTTGAAGCACATACAGTATATAGTCCCATTTCCATCCAGCTGTCTCCGTTCTTTCAAACACATGGGGGGGAAAAAACAGCTTGAAGTTTTCTGTTTGGGCACAGCTTCATTTAGAGTGGCACGGAGGATATTTCCCAGACACAATTAAGCACTTGAGACGGTGTGGCATGTGATGGCCTTGCTCGGTGAAGGGCGTTTTCTCAAAGTGTCATGAAACTGCTGTTTATGACCCAACAGCACACGCTCATGTGGGATTAAGCCATCCGATGGCAACACTTTATTGGAAGTGTTTCATGCAATTCTATTAGTAGAACACTTATGTAATAGTGACACACACTTAAACTAAAGGGCTTCCCTTTGATTATTAAAACATGAGAAAACGGTAAATGTGAAGTACTAATGATTATAGAGCTGTTAAACTGAATTAAATACAATTGAGAAAGAGAAAGTTTTTTTTTTCTTTTTTCCCTTTTTCTTAAAATCTCAATGTCTTCCATTATGACAGTGAATGTACCTTAAATTTATGTTGTCAAAAAATGTTACTGAAAGCTAAAATCAGTATATTTTGAGCTGACTTTTTTTTTTCATTCTTGTGAAAAGGATTCAGATTTTCTTTTTTTCTTTCAGTGTCTACATAAGTGTTGTGTAACTGTCCTCTTGCTTGATAGTGGGAGTGTTTGTTCATATGACTGTGAACATCAGTTACAGAGACTGTTGTTAAGGGTGTAACTCTTACTGTTCATGTTTTGCTCTTTTTACTTGTTATTGGAAACAAAAAAAGATGGATTTTTTTTGCTTTAAACACTTTGTGTTTTACTAAGAAACTGCGCTGCAGGCACATCTGTGTTTAAAAATACTTTCCAGTCGAAGTTACAGTGGCATTTAAAAGTCACATTCCTCCTGTCTGCTGTCTGTTGCTGTCTTTTTTTTCTTTTTTTTTTTTGCTGACATACAGCACAGGAATGCATTGTGCTGGACTGGTTAATTTCCCACACTGGCCCCCCTCATGTGCCTCTGATTTGCAATGATTTTAGGTTAGTATTTGTGATAAGATGGTACAGTTTGCGTCTCCTCATACAAAAGGAAATTGTGGAATATGCCAAACCTATCTCTTTGTAAGAGTTTATTTGATGCCATTGGTGTAATTACACAATGCTTTCTGTGGAAGAATGGTACAATTAAAAGAGGGGGGAAAAAAACAGAATGTAAGGGAACAAGTGGTACTGTTCTGGGAAAGTCAATAAAAAAAAATCAATGTGTTTCACTAACTGCACTTTTTTCCACTCTTGTCGCATTTTCCTGACACACAACTTTCTTTCCTTTTATCGTACAAAGAAACATTACGTATACTGATAAAATAGTTGGAACCTGCTGGTAAATTTAGAAAATTCACTCTATTAGTATTTCTTTCTTTATTTGCTTTAATCAGGATCCACTGAACCATCACTTTGATTCAGGCCTTTGAAACAAGAGTAAATCTAATGTACTTGTGTATTTGCAGTTAACTTTTGTATGTTTTGCTGAAAGAAATTTATGCTAGTTCAAAATACCTGCTCTTCAACAAGTGACAACATTAAATAACACTTATACGAAAATGAATAATTATACCCCACTATACAGATTTATGACCTAAATGCCCAAAATGAACAGTACTGGTAATTGTAAAAATCCTTTTTTGTTAATATTACAATATGTTAAAAATAAATATTTTAACTGCTAAAATATAATTATTGTTGTTAGCCATGAATTTCCACTTTTACCATTTTACAGAAAAGCTGAAAAAATATTTAAAGCACATTATTATTATTTTTACTACAGTTATTTACAAACATTCCTGAATAGAAAAATCAATTTTAGTGTTTGAATGTTATGTTTGGTTCATATTTGAGATCTCAGAGAAGTCCAGTGTACTTGTTCATATTTGGGTAAGAAAACATTGGATTCGGTTTTTCATTTGCCTAATAAATAATAAATAACAGCATCATTTGTTTTAGTTATAAATATATTTTTGATAGATTTAAAAAATATTTGCATTTTCTTGTTTTTATGACAGACAGTCTGATAAATTTGTCGTCGTTCCCATTATTATGAATATGTTTACTTTTAAGAGTCTCATAGTTTACTCGTTCTCATATTATGTGCAAACCCTTTAAAGATTTAAGTTTGTTTATACTTCTAATGACTTATTTATCGCGTTACACGAGTCAATAAGCTGTATACTTATTTCACCACTTCTCATGATGACACATAGCCTGTAGCTGTCCCCAGACAAAATAATCCTATTATTCCAAAGGGGCAGTACATTTTGAGACTTGACTTCTAACTATTGTTATAACCCTGGTCAAAATGACTCTGTTTCTATATTGTGATTGTTTTATTATAAGAAATATGTGTGTGTGTGTGTGTGTGTGTGTGTGTGTGTGTGTATCACAGAAACTATTTGTGTCCGATCTAAAATTAGACCAGAGGATAAAAATTACTAGCAAGGGTGTATTGCTGTGATCTTTAGGGAGTAAGCTTTTTATTGTTTTAAATCTGTACAGGAAAACATAAAACTACATGAAGAAATATTTATAGTCCATTAGCTTCCAATCTTTTTAACCAGTCAAGGTAAACTTTATGTAAAGAATGCACAGACATGAATGCAGTACAAACTGTATTTATTGATACCCAGACAGGGTTTTTGTTTTAAATAGTACAAGACACAAAGGGAGCACTGGGCGTCTGTTGTGAAATAATAAACAAAGGAACAAACATTATACAGGCATAATTTTTATTGCTCAGTTTGGTTTGCTGTTATGAAAATAGATTCACTATTACACCGTTGGTTACAAAACACAGAAAGTCAATACAGACACTATATCCTATATCATTGTTAGCTATGGTTGCTTAGTTGAATTTGGCAACAAATGGCAAAGGGATGTCAACCTCTACTTTTTGGTCACTTACTCTAACATATTTTTCAACATTTTTGCTTTTTTCCTTCAGGGATGTAATGGCATTGTTGTGCAGAGTATTAATGCCTTTCACCATTGAATTAATCCAGGACTGGATGTCAGCTGTGAGTTGTTTACTAGATATGTCAGCCAAAATATTTTGGAGTTTAGCAGTCACAGCTTTTAGATATTCCATTACAACTCTGCAGACCTCTTCAACCGGCTTGATAACGCCAGCCAGAACAGGAGAGTTCATGGCATCGTTGTATGCAGTACTCACAAAGTCAGAAAGTGTCTCCAGATTCTGGGATTTCAGAGTTTGGAGAAGCTTCTCACTCTGTTGGATGGTAAACTGCATGATTGCTGATAATTTCTTTACAATGTCCTCCAGCCGGATATCTCTAAATTTTCTCACAGTAACAACCACTTGGTCCTGGATTTTCTTTAAAGCTACCAACATATCGTCAAGAATTTCCTTTCCACTGACGATGCGATTAGAACCTGGGAAGGTGAATTCAGTGGCTTGGAAATAATCAAGTGCCGTTGCAAACATGGAAGAAAGGTACTCTGGAATCTTATGGATTGCTTCTTCAGATACATCAGCAACAAAAGCAGTACATTTCTGATAGACCTCAAGCCCAGACAGCTTCTCTTTATGGCCAGGAATCTGGAACCTAGTCTCTCTCAGAAATTTAACAACAGCATCAAGGAACTTTTCAACTTTCTTCTGGTAGTTTTTGAGGATTAAAACAGTATTATCTGTGACAGTGGTCACAATCTTGCAAGATTTTACTGATTCAAGACTGTTAATAGCCCTCTTGAACATCACATTACCCTGCTTTTTAGCCTGTGCAAAGGAACCTTCGAGTCTTCTAACTTGTTTGTTGACCGCCTTGTATGTTATGACAGCAGATTCAGACACTATTTCCATGACCGCAGGCACCTGTTTCTTCGCTCCGAGCATCATCTCGTATGGTATTTCCATATTCCAGGTTGTTTGAAGGTTCAGCTTCTCAGAGTTGATCACAGACATCTTCAGACCCAAGATATCAATGTCTGTGGATGGCTCAGACTAAACAGGACACATAAAAACCAATAAGTTAATTATTTAAATAATACATCATTTAGGTTGAAAAAAAATCAGCTTTTATTAGAAAGTGCATCGATAGTAGACTATTATCTTACCGGGTAACGACCATAGAGTCTTGCTTTCACTTGTGCCGGTCGCTTAGCCTGCATCTGAACTGCAATGAGTCCTGCAGATGGATTGGAAACTGTGACAATAAGGCCTTCTTCTGGATTTCCAGTAATCTCCTCATAGATTTCCATGGTCAGGTCAAGAATGTTGACCTTTGCTGTGTTTGTGATGGCGATAGCTACATTTTCAGTAGTTAAGAAGATGGTGCTGTCATGATGTCCCTCTAGCATTGAATGTTTCACATTGAGGAGAGAGGCCATTTTAAATCCACCCATCACGTTCACATTGGTGTTGCCCTCAATCATTCCATTCAGGATCTCAAATTCAGATGTTGAAGAAGCATCTAGTTTGATGGCGATGCTGTCCTGCTTTAGGATGCTTGCGTTAGTCTTGAGAGTGATCATTGGTGTCTTCATGGAGATCTCATAGGTCATATCACCCATAACTGGGATCTTGATGCTCTGAATTTTGGGCAGGGTGATTTTTGGAAGAGTTACCTTGCGCAGGGCAGAGGGCACACGCAGAGTGGGCATTGTGATGAGGGTGAAGTCAGGCAGGGGAATTGTGAATGTTGATGTCTCAATGTTCATCATGGGAACCTTATAGGCAGGGACAGTAATAGTTTTAGGCAACTCAGTGCTATATTTTTCATACTCTTCCTTTGCTTTGTCATATGATGTAGCGAGTATGGCAGCAGCCTTATCCTTGCCATTCATCATTTTCTTGTGCAGTGTCTTGAAATTGGTGTTAAACGCATTGATGACTGGATCCATATTGATGTTAATGGCGATCAACTCATGGTTCTTAGTGTACTTCAGCTTGGAGCTCATATCAAATGTTTGCTCTGTTGTGATTAGTAGATTGCCCAGACCAGTGTCTTCCCACAGTGAGTAGTCCTCCACTTTTGGTGTCTTCATGTCAACAAATGGCAAGGTAATTTCAGGAATGGTGATAGGCTGCTTCAATACATCAAGATTGGCATCTCCTTTGATTTGGGAATACAGGTTAATTTCTGTTTCTCTGTTGTCCACAGCAAAGTAATGGGAGTATTTGTACTGGTTGAATCTAGCCAGACCTGTCCAACTAGCCTGCTGCACTTCGGTGTTCAGGGTGAAAGCAATGTCATTCTGGAGATCTATCTTTCCAGACAGCTTTAATGGAAGGGCAATTTTGGTATTTGCTGTGTTCTTGGTATCAAGCTTAAGCTCATTAGGTGTGACCAGAGCAAGGGCTGAGTTTGAGAGAGTTCCTTCAACCTGACCAACCAGCTGTGCACTGTGAGAGGCAGAGAAATCAATTTTCATGTCTTCAACCTTTGCCTCGAACTTGAGTTCTGCAACGCTGTTTTTAATGAAAGGTGTTTCAGTCTCAGCCTTGGCATCAACAACTACGTGGCTGAAAATGCATATTTCAGCACCAACATTCTGATTCGTTTTCACAAAGTTGCTGTCTGTTGTTCCAGTGAAACTCACTTTGGCTTTATGGAAATCCATGACCACTGACAAGTCGCTCTTGTGGCGTGCCTCATCTGAGAAGTCCCGAATTGCATATTTTTCTCTGGCCACATTGTTAAAGGTCAGTTGGATGGAGCCATCTTTAAGCAGGAAAACTACATTTTCTTTAATCTCCATTTCACTAAAGATGTTAAGGGCAGGCATGTTGATGCCATGTACGTACGTAGTGACTACGGTGGTTGAAATTCCATTTTCCATGTTGAAGACTGCATTGTTAACAAGGGTTGCAGAGTAGAGCTCAGTTTTTGCTGCTGCAATAGTATCAGCAGAAGCTTCAGCTGTCAGACCATAGAAGGTCATTTGACCCTTGTGGTCAAGTTCAAAAGACGACTGATCAACCTTGATGAGCTCAGAGATGGTCACATGACTCATCTTGGGCACAGATAAATGTGCACTGGCTTCCACAGTGAAGTCAAGGATTCGCAAAGTAGATGTAGTCTTTGAGATGAGGTTCATTTTGAACTCTGGTGTATCAGAAATTGTTGTGGTGTTCTCCAGGTCAGCAGTGGTTGTGAGTTTATAATGAGGTGAAATAACTTTGAACTCTCCATAAAGTTTTCCAAAACAGGGGATCTTGCTCATTTCTGCCACTTTCTCTTTCAGCTCCATGGTGAGGGTGTCATAATCAAAGGACCTTACTTTCTGGATCATTCTGATGAAATAGTCACTCATGTCATCAATTAGCTGTTTGAAGTCAAAGGCATATAGCTCATTCAACAGCTCCTGAACAGGTACCATTATGTTTTTCATCACAGGCTGAATGTCAATTGACCTGAGAGCATCAAATGCACGCTGAATCTTTTCTCTGACCTGATACTGCTTCATCATTTTAACAATCTCATCCATGAAGGCTCCAATCGTTTTTTCAACTTCAAAGCTGGAGAGAATCTCTTCAATTTTGGTATAAATCACTTGGAACTTGTTCTCAATGTCATGTTTCTTCATCCAAATCATTATGGTGTCTTTGATAGATTTCAGTATGTTCATAACTTTTTCAGTTGGGAGCTTGGGTGTCAGGTTGGTGATGTAGTTTTCCATTGAGCTGATGAATTTTCTCAGGTCTTGGACAAACAGGTTGAAGTCAAAGTTGTTAATGGCCTCCTTTAGTTCTGCCACCTTGAGCTGGAACTTGGCACTGATCTCATACCTGTTGTTGATGTCTTTTAGCATCTCAATGCTGTTGTCCATCAGTACCATCACTGTGCTCTTCATCTTTTCAATGAATGCAGGCAGATGCTCAATAAATGGGATCTGGAGAGAGTGACTGTCACTGCTCTTGTCATATTTCACAAATCCAGAGATGGCATAATTTTGACTGGACTCACTGAAGAGGAGAGTGGAGACTGCTCCTGCCATTTCAACACCCATTCTTTCTGCATTGTTGTAGGCACTCATTTCCTGTTCAAAGGCGTGCTCATTTACTTTAGATGTCACCTTCAGTGCGACACTTTGCTCTTGGAGGTTCAGCATGCTGCTGAACTTGTTGTCCATATTTGTTGTAATGGTTGGTCTGCCTTCTAGTTCATGTGTGGTTGAAGCTCTGTACTCAAATGACTGTGTGAAAAACATGGGTTGTGCTCTCAGGAGGAATTTGCTGTATAATTCGCCACTCTGCTTTCCATACAGATTCACTGCGCCATTTGAATTGAAAATGGAATCAATGTTCAGGGTGAAGGGTGCAGCCACAGTTGCAACTTTGCTGTCCAGATGAAGAGATGGGGAGTTGAAGTTAGCCACATTGTTGAACTTCATGGTCAGGCCAGCAACCTCGATATCAGTGGTATGCGTCATTTGAGTTCCCAGGAGTTTACCGTTGGTGTTATACTTTGCAGACAGGACCATGTCAATAAACTTGATTTCATAGGTGTGTCTGAGCTCTTCCTCTGAGAAAGCTCCCATCACTGTTCCAGTCAGCTCCAGGTTGTAGGGCTCTGCCTTGAACTGGGCATCATTCACGAAGCTAACCTCCATTATCTTCAGGTCATTTTTCACAATAACTGAGACGCAACGGCCCATGTTGACTGTGATGTCATGCTTGTAAGAGTTGCTGCTGTCAAGCAAGTTGTCAGTCTTGGACTGCAGGGTAAAAGATCTCAGTGTAAGAGACAGTGCATTTGTGTTTTCAGTCTTCATCTCCTTGAAAGAGCCAACCATGTTGTTAGAGAGAGTCAAGCCATCTTCATTCACTCTGAAGTTCACTCTGTTCCTGCTGTTAATATCAAAGAGGTTAGCCTCAAAGTTGCTGTTAAAGTAGACTTCTGTGGTTGCAATCTTGCCTCCAATGGTGAGCTCTGCTTTGTTTTCTTTAATGCCTCCTTTTGTTGTGAGAGACATGGTGGCACTTGAAGTGTCAACTGTACCATGGAAAATATTCTCAAATGTGAATGGACTGTGCTGGGCGGTTGTTGTACAGCTGGTGGTCAGGCCATTGGTGTTCAGGGAAAAGGCGGCCTTGTGAGAGGCGATGCTTGAAAAGATGTTCATGGAGGCCTCAGTGTTGACCTCCATGCCAGAGGGATTAAGGGAACCAGTAAGCAGTGAGTAGATACGGTTGCTTGTATCATCGGCTAGATTCTCTATTCTGAGACTGGCCTGTCCTCTAGAGGCAGCAAAATCTATCTGGCTCCGAAGCATCCTCTCGTCAGCCTGTGTCTCAGAGCTGGACTGGATGGTAAACTTGAGATCCTTGTACCTAAGGTTAATTTTGGTGTTGTGCACAATGGGGTCGCTGTTCACTTTAGTGTTAGAGTCAAACAGAAGCTCTTCCTCTGCATATGATGCCTTCATCTTGTTTTCAAGCTTCAGGTCTTCAGACTTCACATTCAGTGAACTCTGCATTATTGCTTCTTTCTTCGCTGGGTCGACCGAGAAGGTGTAGAGATAGGTGGTGGAAGCGGTCATGGGTCCAACAGTGACACTTCCATTTGTGTTAACATTTCCAAAAAACTTTTTAGAGTCAAGGGTCATCTGGGTAGTAATAGTCAGGGAGGTGTCCAGACCCACAGGGGCAACAGCATGCACGTTGTAGCGGCCAGTTGACATCAAACTGTCTGTGACTGCAATGGTTTCCTGAACATTAAAACCTGTGGTGATCAGCATGTGTTTCAGGGAACCATCAAGAGTGAATTCCATAGTTTCCACTTCTGTGTCAGTGATTTTGGTTGCTCCTTTAGAACAGACAAATTAAAAAAAAATTAACAATTCGTATCAGCGTCTATGTTTTTTCTGCACTGTTCAATAACAAATGTATAGTTTATAAGAATAAAGAATAAAGAATTACCCTCAGCTGAAAATGAGAGGAATTTGATCGGACTGTCAGCCACAATGTTGAATTTGGCCACATAGTTAGGAGACTCTGCAGTGTTGTTACCAGCAGACGCTGTTGCCTCCCACTTATAATAGTTGGTGTCGACCTTGGCAGCCATTTCCACCATGCCCATCAGAGGCAGGGTGAGATCATAGTCAGATGGGATGTTAAAAGTTGGGATTTGGATTCCTCGTGAGGCAAAATCTATGCCCAACTTCGGCATGGAAATGTGTGGAGTGGTGACCATTTGAGGTATCCTCAGCTCCTCAGATGATTTGCCCCCAAAAGGAACTGGGATGGTGATAGTCAGACGGTCCTGGTTGAACTGGTATATCAGTGTGCTTTCACTGTTGAAATGGTGAGAGTAGGGAACTTGTTAAAATGTTGTATTTATTCAGTATAAGGTTTGAAAGTTTTTTTTTTTATTATAATAACAATTGTGAAGATACTAGTTAATGTTTTTGCTTCACTTACAGGTTCATGAACAGGTTTTCAGGCACAGATGGCATTTCCATCATAGCTAAGCTGTTCCTCAGTCTCGCCATATAGGGACAATCAGCTGAGACTTTGTCCATCCAGATATTGCTGGCCTGATTAAAACACATCATATTTCTTATGATTCAGTCTGGACAGACTAAAAACTACGAAATAAACATTCAGTTAGTATAAAATTATTTTTACCTCAATTCCTTTGTTGAGGATGTGTCGTAGTTTCATATCAGTTTCGATAACCTGCTGGTCCATAACATCCTCTGCAGTCTTCCTCAGCCAGGCCTGGACGACCTTAGTGTAATGCACTGGGACTTTTGTTTCAGCATTCATGTTGGACATCAGCTGAACCTCAGCCTGCTCTTCGCCTGTGACAGTAAAAAGACAGTGTTTTAAACTGTGCCTGACATGACCATTCTTTGAGCTCCATTGCCACTCTTCTTGAGCAAAATTACCATATTTGAAGGTGACTGCCTGAATGGAGGAGATCTCTGGGAGCTTGACATCACTTCTGATCTCCATGGTGAGTCCGTCGGCTTTGCTCATGGTAGCAGTGACTGTGGCATCTGTCCTGAGTGAGGGGACTAACAGCTGAAGCTGCAGCATGCCATCAGTCATAGCCTGAAGCCTATAATTAATAATAAAAAAAAGCAGTTAATTTCTGCAATGAGGTCAGTGGAATTATAGTAAAGTAACGGAACAGTTTAGGAAAATATTTTGCTGGGTTTACTCACTTGGCACGGCCAGTCAGAGTGAGTTGAGGCACGTTCTTGTTGGAGATCTCGAGGGTAATAGATTTGCCTCTGGCGTTGCTATCTGTCATGCCGAGCTTGACGCCCGCCTCAACATCAAAGTCAGGTATGTTGATCTGAGTGCTGAAGACATTTCTGTTCCTGTTGTATGTCATGGTGACTGTAGCCTCAGTAGGCTGAGCACCTGACGTCACAGAGTCAGAAAAAGGTTAATCACTTATCTGTATAACTCAAAAAAAGAAAAAGAAAAGAAAGAGGCAGCACATGTAATAAAATTCTTGATTTAAAAAAAGCAATATTCATACCTTCGGCTCTCAGGGTCATCTTCACAGAATTAACCTTGTGGCGTCCGTCCTTTTCTTCGCCATAGGTGATACTGGCTGTGTACTCAGAGACCTCTTTAGTAGGCTCGATGTCCAGAGCAAACCTTGGGTAAAAATAAAGTCTTTAGTACATTTTTATTTCTTTTAATGCAATTTGGTACTGTGCAGCAATAAAATCTATAATCTCATGTGCATATATCCACCATCTGAGATGAGCTAAAATCTTTTCATCTTGACCTATTCTTGACCTATTCTTATCTGTATTTAACCATCTTCTTTTCAACTGTACCACAATATACTAAACAATATTCAGCATTAAATGGAAATATGTTACATGATCATATTTAAGGCATTTCCATTTCTTATTTAACAAAGAAACAAAGCAAAACCTGACTTTTTAAAGAACATCTTACTCAGTCTCTCCGTTCAGAGGGAAGTAAGGAGCAGCCGTCTTGCCAGGAGCGTCACCATGAAGTGTTTTTGTGCAGTATTTGACTCCAGAGAAGAGAGGGCTGCAGCTGGAGTCGGCTAATCTGTGTGGGATCACTGTAGCGTGTCCAGCACCCACAATCATAACTTTGTTGCTATTTCAAACAAAGAACAGCAAAATTACTTTACAACTTCTAACAACATTATTAAAAACACAGAATATATGAAATGCAATACGCTCCCTGTTGGTAGTGTTCTTTATAATTAATATTTATATGATATTGATTGAATAATCAATATCAATTAATATCATTTACTTGTATTACACAAAGTAAGTTATCAGATTTTTTTTTTTTTACCTGATTCTTAAGAATTTCATGGTGCCCTGTGGAGCAGGGATGGAAAGTTTGACCTGGTTTTGCTCCATGGTGATCTTGGCATTGAAAGAGCTCTCATGGTACATGTTGGTGTGCATCTCAACTGAAGAGACAATAAATTCAGGCACATGGATTCCCATCTGAGTCATGAACTCAATTCCAATTGCGGGCATGAACACCAGCTCCTGGAAACAAAGGGGATCACAGAAAAATTGAAGTGTGTGGGGAAAAAATGACCAACAGTCAGGATTAATATGACTGAGAATTCTACGTACATGTCACAGAAACAAACAATTAAAACAGCAACATTGTAATAACAATTGCTGTTTTAGTATGGTGCTAAACACAGGTTAAATACAGTAGATGGAAACCTTACCATGTTTGGAGTCATGCGAAGACCTCCTTTTGCACCAGGAGCAAAGGTGCCAGACAGAGCAAATGTCAGAGGCAAGCCAGATGCTGTTGACATCATGAATTTGTTGTCCATGAAGATGTAATGGGCAAAAATCTCATTGCGAGTGCTTGAAATCAGGTTAGACATGACCTGACAGGGAGAAATACAGTTAACAAATAGAGTTTTTCAGCTGCAAATAAAAATAAATCTATATAGACACTATATTAATGACTGCAGAACACTACCTTTGTAGGTACTATCCTCATGAAAATGTTTGCATACATCATTGCATTTTCAGCAATAGACTTCAGTTCATTGCTCTTGATGTAGCCAAGCTCAGCTCCCATTAGCCTCAGGTAGGCCATGGCCTCTGGGGACTCTCGGTTCTGCAGGTCTTTTACCAGCTTGTTGAGGTTGCGGACAATTTCTGTTGCAAGGTTTTCAGGAGCCTTAAGAAAAAGGGACCAATATGTTAGATACGTTGGTGTGAGTGACAATGATACGTTCATTAAGAATAAGAGTGTTTAACAGAAACAGTTATGCGAGTGATATACCTTTTGCCCGTCTATTTTCAGTGGAGCAACCCATTTCTCCAGAACTTCCTTGATCTTTGGTGACATCTGTTCTTCAGCCCAGTACAGAGCCTTGGACACTGTGTCAGGGAAGAATCCATTCTTGCCAAACAGAGCCTCAATGGTTGGCTCAAAGCCTTTTCCTTCCATGCCAACCTGCCAAAAGGAATTTAATAATATGAATACAAAAATGAACCAGGAGTTGTTGGGGTTAGGTCCCATCTAATAAAATGAATCCCCATGAATAAAGTTCAGCGTTAAAGGTGTAAAAATGGCATAAATAATTGTGCGTGAGAAGCACTGTACATACCTCCCAAATATCCATGCTGTAACCAAAAGCATTCAGGGTAGTTTCCAGCAAGACTTCTCTTGGCAACGTGCTGCTGGGATCGAAAATGACATTGCCTTGAATTTTGGCCGCCATGCTCTCATGTGCCATTCCCAGCTCATAGTTGCGAGATTTTGTGGTGTAGTCGCTGTGTGTAGAAACTTCTGTGTCCTGCAGGGCATCCATTATTTTCTCCCCAAGCCTGGAGTGAAGATTAAAAGTAAAACTATTAGCTGAGTGTAAATAGATGGGTGCCCAAATCGGCGCTATATTAGTATAGAACAACACATTAAGCTGAAAAATGCTTCATTCTTACTTTTTGGTCTCTGAATCAGTTGAGGAAATGATGTTGTAGATGTGGGAGGACACAAAAGCCCTGATCTGCTCGTTCTGCTCTTGGTTAAGCAGCTTCTTCACCACCTCAATGTCGCTGTCCTCAGGGTTTCTCATCAGTATCAGATAAGCTGCCAGACGTTTCTGCACAGCGCCCTTGGGATACTGGCTGACCCTCTGGAGGTTGGCACGAATCTGGACAGGAAAACAATTTGAAAAAACAGTGACTTAATGGTCTTTGTAGCTGCAGTTTGTCTCCACTATAAAACCGGGAAGCAAGGAGACTGCTCATGTAGAAGAGGAATGTGGTTAGTTACCTCATCTGTCACAGACATGCGCCTGAAAGCCTGGATGGCGGCCAGCTGCACGGACAAAGTGGTTGCGGGCTGTCTCATGCACTTGAGCAGGGTGGTCTTAATAGCAGGATCGGTGGCCTCCATTGCGTCTCCCATGTTGCCAACAACCTGGACAGAATATTAAAGCAAATCATAAATCATGCAATTAAATGTTCCCTTTAAAACTTTTCTATCTTTGTCCTCAGGAAATGTGGGATCATTTTTTTTTCCCCTCTGTATTGTCTTGATATAATAAAGTTTCTTGAATGAAAATGTAGTCTTATTCACGTCTTGTTACCTACCCTTAAAGTCAGGAAAGTCAGGTCTTTGTCACCAGCGCAGTCTGCACCCAGAAGAGAAGCAATATAGTTGTAGACAGCTGTGATCTCTGGAGTGACTCCCTCAGATTTATACAGTCTAGAGGAAAAGACAGACATTAGGGATTATGTATTAATTTACAACAGGTACCACAATTCAGTGTTACTGCATCGAGGAGAGCGTCCTTCAGAATGTCATATATTTATGTTCACTTACTTCCTGGCTGCATTGCTCAAAGCATACATGATGGGTTTGCTCTGCTTGTACTGAGCCATTGCCAGCAAGTCTTTCACCATCTGCTGTGAAGGGTTGGGCAGCAGCCCCAGGGCGTAGACAACAGCATCAACCTCAACAGCATCTTCATGAAAGGTCCTGAGAAGCTTGAGCATGGCGCTAGTGCATTCTGGTGTACCACACTGAGCCAGAGCTTGCCACGTCAGAGAGGGTGAAATGTCTGTCATCTCAACAATAGCCGAGTTCAGGGTGTCCCCCTTCAGGCCACGAAACTCTGACACCAGCTGGCGGAAAAGGCCGGCGCGCTTCTCGCCCTCGTTGGTCTCTGACAGAGAGTTCAGCTTCTGCATCGTGGCAGCGACAGCATCCATGGTTTGCACTGGGGATTTGTCGTCAACAACATCCATGGGCAAGTACCTGACATTGTCCTCATCTGTACAGAAATAAATCACAAGCAGTGGAAAATCTATTAGAATCTGGATGTTAGAGACACACGTAAAATATTTATATTGTTTTTTCCCCCCTATTTTTTACAAAATTTGTTTTCACACAACAGAAGCACTCACTGTGATCAAAGATTCTGTCATTGATCTTGGCAGTCGCTCTCAGAGTCACAGTCTGCTTCACCATAGCAGAAATTCCATATTGGTTTCTTTTTTCAGAAGAGAGAAATCCCCAAATGTGCGTTAGATTTCAAAGAGAATTCACAAAATTATTCATGAAAAATATACAAAAAGTCAAAATAAAACTTACTCATGGGACAAGGGCAGGAAGATGTGTTTCTCTGTGCAGGTTCCACTGGTCATGTGTTTCTTCTGGTTGTCAAACCTGTAGTTACAGCTCTGAGTGCTCCTGATCAGCTTGGACAGGCTGTATTTCTGACAGGCAATAAATAAATAAATAAATAAAAATTAATGTTTTGTCAGAAGTTTGGAGAATGTAGAATGCTGGGAAATGTAGATGTACTTTGTGGCTTGACGTTGGAAGAAAAAAGGGATGGATGTTTGCTTTGTGGTTTTATACTATGGAAATATAGCTTGGGTTCATTTAATAATGTAATCAGACCATATTTTTTTCCTGATGATTGAGTGCTGATATTTTGACTCTTGGCCTGAGTTTGTGATGGCAGTGTCAGATTTTTGTTGAACTCTTACCATCCCAGAGACGAGAGCCAGGGGACTGGTGTCCTGTCTGCGGGCAGTGAACCAGTCACATCTGGACAGATCCCTGCTGACTGTCACATCAGTAGCAATGTCCTGTTTGTTGTTGACGGTGAAGTCGGTGGAGCACACTCCGTGCACGGTGGGCTGGAAATGATTAGGATGTTCAAAACAATTCAATATTCAAGCTGTAAGAACTGGACCTATGGACGTGCATTCCTTCCTTTAACTTATCTCTTAAATCAGGTAATCAATCATTCTTAAAGATTACCTCCATTATGAGAGCAGCGCATGTCAATAACAAGATAAAGTTATCTAGGACTTTGACCTGTTGCTGAAAATTGTCATTGTTGGAACATGCTGTTACAACAGTGTATTTATCTCCTTTGACTGGGCCAGCTTATCTGCACCTTGTGCAACTTATCTATGCATGACTAAACAACAAACTGAATCAGGCTCTACTTGGTGTGATTTAATTGCCAACTATGAAGCTATGAAAATTTTCCCAAAAAAGAAAAAATCAAGTAATAAACAAGTGAGGGGAGCTACCATTTCATTGTTCTTCTCCTCTTCCATCACAGGCACCATGAGAGCTGAGACAATTCCTCTCTTGATGTTGAGGATGTTGACGGGCTCATTGTCCTCAGGGTACAGCCTGACATCTGTCTGTCCTTCAACTGTGATCTTTAGAGTGTTTCTGTTGACGTGGACAGATCATCATTTACAGCCTGCCATTCAGGTCACTCTTTGATTTCCTCAGTTACCCTGGATCCTAATTTCTGAGAGCAATTAACGAAATACATAAATCTTTCCTACAAACAAGATGACTCACTTCTCCATGGCAGCTTTGAAAGCCTCAGCTCCAGCAGCAGGACGATACAGTGGATTCCCCTCATTGTCAACGCCAACAACCTCGCTCAGAGAGCAGTCTGTTGTGCGGAGGATGAAGCTACAGGTCTGGGGCACATCAACCTCAACCTGTGCAGCAGAATAAACAGTTTGTTTGGACTTCTTGTTTTACATTCAGGGTCATGAGATTGCTGTTATTTTTCCTCAGCAATGATCTAAGCTCGAAGACTTACTGTGCAGGAGACTTTGGGGCCGCTTTTATTGTCTGTAGCTCCATTCACAGTGTTAAAGGTCTCAGCTTCGTAGTCATACACAAATCTTCTGAAGTGCCTGTATCTTTTGGCCACTGAAAAGTATTTAAAGCATTTACAGCAATAGTTAGAACAACAACAGCCAGTTTATCAAATGCTAAACTAAAATAAAAACTTCAAGGCTAACTCCACTCAAACCAAAGCTTTACATCCAGGACTTATGGAACTGAAGCCAAATATTTAATGTGTAGTTCTCTATATACATTCTAGGTATAATGGAAATTAAATATTTCAAGCTTCCCATTTTGATTTTCCCGTTTTATAATATTAAATTACACATTGTAAAATATTTACTTTTAAACAATGACAACAAAGACACTCACAAAAGCAGGCTGGAGATGGTTCCTCAACACTTCCAACATCTTGCTCTGAAAAACCAAAGAACCCCAAACAAACGCACAAGCTGCCATTACAGTGCAACAACACAATTGCAAATGATTGAATACAGTAATTATGCCACATTTGGCCGCTCTCTTATTCCAAGCGTGAGTCTCTGCGCATTTGATTTGGCAGATTTTATGCCAAATACGCTGTCTTATGCAAGCCCTAAGGAATTTGAGTCTCCAACCCGAGGGGAAACCGGGGATTTTTGTTTGGTGAATGTTTAAGCTACACGTTAAATACATTAATAAATACTACTAATAAAAAAAACATAGTAATTTTATTTGTCAGTGCCTTGCAAAACACTTAACACAAACTAACAATATTTACTGTAAATTTTTACATGTCGAAGTTTAATTAAATAGCTACACATTTGTTTTGCTCTATTTTAAAAACGTAAGAGACATAAACAGTATCAAATATCATCGTCTCAAATTTGTAAAATATGTGTTCCATTTCAGAGCAAGTTGCCAACTTTTCACAAAGCTAAAAAAAAGCATTCGTTACATATTTTTAAACAAACAGATTTAATTCACATACAGGTCTAAGTTTTAAAAATCCACTGCCTTTAAATGGAAAAAAATATTGTACTCACGGGCTAGTGTGCATGTGCCCAGAAACAGCACAAGGCAGAGCTTGTAACCCAACATCATGGGTTGAGCTCCTGGAAGCCTTAAGGTAAGAAGAGTCCCCCTCTTTCTCTGAAGACTAATTCTTGTGCTTTCGCCTTTTGGCTTTTATAGCTTTCAAGACATACTGTATGTGATTGCAGGGACTTGCAAATGTGTTGCCCTGGTTCCAAAGTCTGAGCAGTCCTTGTGGCAGGTCAAAGGTAAAAAGACTGTCTGTCAGCACTGGGTGGGGGTGGCCAGTGATTATTCTAAATGACTGTTGTTTTATTATTTCTGGTTTGAGATCATCCTGAGGTCATTAATATAGAATGCTAATGCTAATGCTTATTGTTAACCCCCCCTGACAATTTGTATCTAGCAGATAATTTATTATTTAGTGCTGTACTACTTTATGTGTTAGTAAGTAATATAGTGCAGTACAACATAGATTTTGTGGTACTAGGATAATACTAATGTTTATGTGTTATCATATATCATTCTGTTTTATTACAACATTAATATACTCTTGCTAGCTAACATTTTTAATAACCATCATCAGTGTTGTGTAAGTACTACTCATCATGGATCAATAACTTTGTTTGTATGTTGCATTCAAAGCTCAGGTCACAAAAACATTTGGTAGTATCAGGATTTTATTGACTTTCATTTCAACGCTGTGTGCCATTATTCTAAGAGGCAATCAGTTCAAACCGAGAAAGGTTTCAGTTTTGATTTTACAGAATTTCCTTTGGGATTAATAAAGTTTTTCTGAGTATTATTTCTTTGTTTCAAACTTATGACTGCATGAACGTTCATACGATTCAAAATATAGCTTATAACACAATTGTGGCACTATGATGTACTGCAAGTATGCGAACGCCTTCACATACGCTCACCTTTGCCTCATAGATGGCTCAAGCATGTGAACCTATATCGCCTGCTGCTAGTGTGCTCCTGCTTAAAGTTTGTTATCAGCATATATTAAAGCACGTCTCCAAGCATTAGGTGCTTTATGACATGCACATGGTAGATAGGACTCTAATGGGCCTAACCAGTCATCAGAAGTGCAGTGCATCTGCAGGGATCTCTAGGGTGGCACTTGGACATCCAGGGAAAAAAAATACATAGTGAAAGTGATTATAATGAGTAATTTCACTTATAGAATAAAATTAAAATGAAACCTTGAAATACCTGAATGGAAAACTCAAACCATATCTTCCTGAACAGGAAATATTCAGCCCAACTCCAATAGTTATGTCTTGCATTTGGGTGTAACATCATTTTAGGATCCACCCTAGACTCTTGTAGTCTTGTAATAGCCTTAAACCTCAACCGTGGCTTTTTAAACTGTTTCTTCACAAAATAAGAAGAGTTTAGTTTTAGCTAATTCTAATTTGACTGAAATGACTTATACTGCAATATGCACTATGCAATATAATTATTATAATATGACAAATGGCCTGAAGTAGTAAAGTGCAGAAGCTGCTAAATGAATGATAACCAGTGCCTCTCAGATCGCTAAAGGTCCAGTAATCCATAAACCTGCCCTTTGATTTCTCATTTGCTGTGGTGCATTCGGAATAACAGGGTGAAAGATGGCAAGGTTTCATAGCTTCCTGTAGGCCAGAGCCCCCTGGAGCTTTAGTCACTCCCAGTGGGAACCAGACTGGATGCAAATAAATCTCAGCAGTGGTGTCTCAGTATTTATGGCTAACCTTTCACCTCCTAAGAAAAGCCTGTGAAATCTTCTAGATAAGGCTCACAGGAGAAATGAACTCAAGATAAGTCGATCAGACACAAGAAGACTAGCTGATGTTGCACAAGAGTAACATCAGCACTGTGCAAATGGGTTACAGTACAGTATGTAGACTATATGGACTATGTGGACTTATGGGAATATAGGAGAAAATGGTGAATTTTTGGGACTAATACTAAAAACGCTATTTAAATAAGCCCTTTCACCAACACCTCCTGTTAACATGTCTGTTTCTTTTGCCTCTGCTATTAATGATTCGATTTTTATGTCAGAGGAAAAGGAGAAACCTTTATAATAACAAAAATTGTAAAATCTTTTTTTTACCAGTCTATCTTTGGACTAAAGTCAAGTTACCACACAGCAGATCATCTAATTTAGCAACAGGCCAGTTGCAGTGAACAAGATGATATGAGGTGACCAATCATTAGTTAGTTTAATGGAAAAAATGTGGGCTATTTAAAAGAGTAATATGAAATATGCATTGAACCTTTTTACTTGGCTTTTTTATGTACTTTAATCACTCGCAGTATTATGGTTAAATATTTGAGGAAAAGAAATATGAAATGATCACTTTAAAAATAAAGCAAGTTTCCTAAATAAATATAAAAAAAAGATGTTTGTCTCCTGTTTCATTTGGGCTCAAGTCAAAGTTCAGTCTGAGATACTGATCTTCTGCTGAGCTCCGAAAACAAGGAGAACTTACCAAATCAATAAGGTTCAACAGGTTTAAGTGCTCGCCTTTGTTCATCAAAACCAGTGTGAACATATTACCTCTGATTAATACGTTTGAACCAGATGTTTAGTGGATGAAAGAGGGAAATGGCAGTGCTGGACATTTAGTTAATAGGTATAAAGTAATAATACTACAAACCACAAAGCAGTAAACAAACATGGGAGATATATGTATATAAGTCATTAAAAAATAACACATATGATTTAAGAATGAGATCATGGCGTGAATGATATCTGTACTCTTACAGTTTTTAGTTGGAAGGAGACATTTCATTGCTTTAGAGCCACTCAGAAAAATCCCCTCTGATACTGTAGTGATAGTATGTTGTTGATCCGGCATGAGTCATAATGACATAACTGAAATACAGAGAAGAGTCAAAGCAGATAGAAATATCTTGCATTTTCTGTCAAATGTAACACAATAACTAAAGATTTACTGTCTTTAACCTTAATCCTGATATATTTTCATGATAAATATTAAAATTAATAAAATATACTATAATTTCTCCACAAGTTGGGTTGTTGTGTACATAAAAACAGAATTCAGTGATATTAAAATACCATAAACCACACATTTTATCCACAATTGAACACAGATGACATATGAAATGTTTGACTTAGAAATAGTACCATTTAAGAAAAATATGAGCTCAGTTTGAATTTGATGGACAACACATCAGGAACATAACTTAGTATAAAAGATTATGAGCCAATACACAACTAAGAGCAGGAAACCGAGGCTACAGCTCACGTGCGCTAACCAAAATTGGAAAGATTGGAAAAATCATCCTGCTTTGTATGAAGTGTTCAGGTGGTGGGCCCCTTCACACCAGGTGAGGATTGTTTGCCTACCACAGGCTACTAGAGTATTGACAATGAGTTTGCATTCAATCTTAATCCAGTAGAGCATCGTGGGATGGTGGAATGGTGCAACATGGTTGTGCAACTAACAATTCTGCGGCAACTGTGTAATGTTATCATGTCAACATGGAGCAAAACTTTAGAGGAAGGTTTTCAGCAGTTTGTTGAATCTATGCCAGAAAGAATTAGGGTAGTTCTAAAGGTAAACAGGGGTCCTAGCAAAGTGTAATCACAAATTGTCAGGTAAGCATATACCACCCTCAAATGTGCCTACTCATTAACCTTTTAGAATGACAGTAAAACAACATGTTGCAGTTTTACACTCAAATTAACCGCGTCCCTGTGCTTTATTTTCATGCTAGTCATTCTGCCTTAAAATAACTTTCAAATGTTTTTGGTTTTTTTTACATAACAAGATGAATATTGTACTCATCATTGTGAACTGGAAAAGTCAGACAATTCTCTGAAGCAACAAGAAAAGAACTACGTTTCAAAATCCTTGGATTAAAAACTAATGCAGAGACCAAATAAGACTCAGATCTCAGGTTTCTTTAATTCTTAACTTCCTTTCAAAGCTTTATGCCTTGTACACTGAATGCATTTTATGGGATTTAAAACAGATGAAAGTTTCATCACACTGGCTCATGTATCACTGCCTCAAAGGCACAATAAATCAACCTAATTACTCAGGTTTAAAGCGTACTTTCTCAGAATGGAATGATTTTTGTCATGATCCTTGCTTTAAAATGTTTTAAAAGTTATTTTAAGTATGTTTAAATAAATCTAATCATGACTCTAGCAATGAAGCTGGAACGACCAATGCATCTCTTAGTACTGGACATCATTAGTACTGGGCCTATAAAGTAGCTTACCACACTTGCGTCAGAGTTTAAAATCAACAGAGTAGCAGATAAACCAGCTTTAGGAAGAAATCTTTACAGTTTCTTTGACTTGGTCTGAACTACCATACCATACCATACCATACCAGCTTTATTTATAAAAAACCAGGGTTCACAAAGTGCTGTACATATACAAATAGCATAAGCAAAGTAAAATAAAAATAATAAAAAATAATAAGATAAAGCAAAAATAAATAACTAAATAAATGAAATAAAATAAAACATGTTAAAACAAACTGAGTCAACCCCCTTGAACAGTGCCAAAGGCTTCATCGAATAAATACGTTTTAAGAAGAGTCTTAAACTCGGAAAGAGAAGAGGCCTGCCTAACGTGCAAGGGCAGATCATTCCACAACTTTGGAGCAGCTGCAGCAAAAGACAATAGCTCTGGGTGGCCTTTGCAACACTGGATCAAGATGTGCAACAGGTGAATCAAAGTAAAGCAATGCAGACATGTTGATTCCTGTCAGCTGATGAACAACACAGTGCTGGTCACTATTAAGTAATGCCTGTGTGTTTCTTTGGCAAGCATTTTATATACAGTGTAGTTGGGTATCAAACACCAACCAGGCATTTTTATTTAAATATTACGTTTAGTTATACGTGAACTTGATGTGTTTAACACGGAAAATAAAAATGTAAAAACCTGTGTACAACACTGTAAGACAGTGAAAGCAGCAAACTAAAATAGAAGAAACAAACACACACACACACACTGCGACTGAACAGCTACTGCGTGTATGTTTGAACAAAAGGGATTTGAGTCATGGTAATAGCAGTTACCCAATATTTGTTTTTATAGCTTGCTTTAGCTTGAGAGACAAGAATATTACAGATGTTGCAGCTTTAGGAGAGCATCTGAGGTTTCTCTGCCTTGGTCAAGACTGAACTTGTGGAAGGTGGCTTTGGATGTGTCTTACAAAACCAAATAGGGATGTGCAACAGACATGTTAAACCCACCAGATGATGAATAATTGCAGCTATTGTTTACTAGATGTCTAATTTATTGCATAATGTTGCATAATGTAATGCTTGTGTAAATTTCACAATGTTTGTTCACGTGTTTATGGTCAAGAAGAGGCTTGATTTGTTTAGCATCTGGAAACTTACTGTCGTGTTTAAGGAGAGCACTGGGAAAACACTGTCCTACGTCTCACTGACGAGTAACTTCTACTATCTTCAGGAACTTGATAACATGTTCCTGTACTGCTATGGAAGGGCAGTCATGGATCAAAGGTTTCAGTTTCTGGCAATGGTCCTCAAAGTTTTATCAGAGGTGCTGTGCTTGGTTTGCCACGACTTGTTTACGCTAATTTTATGTAAAAAATGTCTTGTACATCGGTGATGAAATAAATACAGAGACTATGTTTTTGTTAATTACAAACATATGAAAAAAGAAGGTATACCCTCTTTTAATTGTAAAGTTTGTATAAGAGGACAAAACAAAAATCATACGGTCCTCAGCAGTTATCTAAATCCGATCTCAGATGAACAAAAACCTCAAGACATGTTACACAGTGTAATTGTGAATTTAACAAAAATTAAGCTAAAAAGTGCGAAAATCTAAGTACACCCCATAATTCAGTAGCTTTCGAGCAACCTTTAGCAGCAATAAACTGAAGTAATCATTTTGTGGATGACATTATAAGTCTCTTACATCATTGCGGAGGAATTTTCACCTACTTATAATGTTGCTTCAGTTCATTGAGGTTTGTGGGCCTTGATTTATGTACAGCTCTCTTAAGGTCTCACCACAGCATTTTAGTCAGGTTGAGGTCTGGACTTTGACTGGAGCATTGAGACACCTCGTTCTTTTCTTTTTTAGTCATTCTGTTGGAGGTTTGCTGTTGTGCTGGGGATCATTGACCTGTTTGATCTAGTTTCAACCAAGGTTTAGCTGTAGGCTGGATAGCCTCACATCCGACTCTAGAATACTTGGGTATATAAAGGACTCAAATCATCCCTCATCCACCCCCATGTTTGACAGTGGGTTTGATCTGCTGGTACAAATCTGCTGTTTGATTTTTACTAAACGTGGTGCTTTATGACCAAACATCTTCATCTTGGTCTTGTTTGCCCAAAATATATTATTCCAGAAATCTTGTGATTTGTTCAGGTACAACCTTTTACACCTGAGCTGTGTTGCCATCTTGGTTCTTGAATGTTCTTTTCTGGTATGAAGAATATTTCTCCTGGGAAGTCTTCTAAAAAAAAAGCCACAGTCTTTTTTAATTTTGCTGTTGTAAACTTGAACATTTAAGATGCTAACTGTGGCCTGTAGATATTAAAATAGAGCCCCTGGTTGTTTTCTTGCAGTTTCTCTGAGCATTGCAATTTGTTGGGATTTCCACACAGCAGTTTTGAACGTGAATAATCTTTCTCACTGCAGAATGATGCACTTTAGATTGTTTAGAAATAACATTATAAGCCTAGCCAGATTAATCGGCAGCAGCAATTGCTTCTTTAAGATTACTGACCACGTCTTTCGTACTAGGCACTGTGTTAACACACCAGAAGGCAAACATCTGCTTTTATAGAGGTGCTCACACTTGCTGACGATCAGTTAATTAAATGTATTTGATTAGCAGCACTGGGCTGATACCTACCCTCCTATGGGAGCAGTAAGGGTATACTTAGTTTTTCATGTTTTTTTTTTTTTTTTAATTTTGACTTAATTTTTGTTAAATAAATAATGAAACAGTTTAATAATTCTCTGTTGTTGTTCTTTTGTGATTGTGTTTCAATTATTTTAGAACCTGATAACCTGACCTGACCAGATAATTTTTTTTGTTATGTCCTGATATGTACAACCTGAACACTGAAGAACAAGAAGGTATACTTTCTTTTTCACACGAGTGAAATATATTTGAGAAAAATCAACAACCCTGTGAGCTTCAAGCTTTTCATGTTACCTATTTATATCTAAAATGTTTTTTTTTCACTCTAACACAAAATTCCATTACCAAAATATGTTAAGAATTAAAATATATAAGTTAACTATGTTTTTTACAATAAGTATCGCGGCATGCTACCTCATACACATGAAAAGACAAATGCCCAGTCTATTTTTGGTTCTCATTAATTCAACAACATATGAGCTATCACAGCCTTGTAGCACTGTTTTTACATATTTTGTGAAGAAAAGGTTCCAGTGACCCCCTCTGGTTGCAAATAGACATTACATTTGTGCATCTGTAGGTTTCTTTGAGTTCCAGAATATCTTTCAAGTCAGTATCACTGTTGCATTTTTATCCTTCCTTCACAGATAAGAACTTTCCAGACATAAGGAGATATGCTTAGAAGATGTTGGTTCTCCTTGGATCTACCTTCATATGCAGAGGTGAGAAATAACCAAGTAAAAATACTTCATGCGCCGGAAGAAAAAAAAGAACAAGCAAAAAGAGAACAACACAGTAGGGAGATCACAGCAACAACCTAGATAAGTATAAGAAACAATAGATAATAAATACTGAATGCTACTAAGCACAAGGCTGAAAATGCAATGTATGCTTTGAGGCAGCAGCCAAGAAAGATATAGTCTGTGTCTGTGAACACACACTAGTGGGTATCGGGAGCCATAGCCCTGGCCCCCAGGACATGAAGCAAGCATGGAGGAGACCCAGGCCCCAGAAACCTAGAAGCCCCCCAGAGAGCAAGAGCCCACAGAGGACCAACAGAGGGGCCCTGATTTTCAAATTAATGCACACACAATGCAATAAAATTGGCCTCAAGTTTGAACATGAAAACAATACTTAGTGGTTTCCACATGTTGATATCCTTAAAGGCATTCATAAAACTACATAATTGATAATTCTGTCAATATTTAATTTTTTAGACTGCTTGAGCATTTTCTCATTTTGGAATTTATGTTGATCTTACTCACGATGTCAAGACCCTGAATTACTTTCCGAATGAAATCAGTGTCAGTGTGAATCTCTCTAAGAACGTAGTTCACTAGTTCCTCAATATAAGCTTTTAAGTCAACGGATGCAAAGAGCCTCTTTAGCTTAGCAGCAAGTGTTTTCGAGTTACTAGTGTTACAGTTTATATAACCAAAATCTATTAGTAGATATTTAAAGTACCAAAACATTATAAAAGAAACAAAGTCACAAACCGCAAATAAATCCTTCAAATAAAAACAGCTCCTCATTTTAACTACAAGTTAATTTTAAATGTATCAGTGATCTTCAGTGTGTAGCTTCAAGCTTTGGGATTTTATTTGGGGAGGTTATTTTAATGTCCAACTTAGCCAAAAGCCACAGAGGCCTCTTTGTCATTAAGTTATTTTTCATTTGTTGAAACCTCAGCTCTACCAAACAGAGGAATAGACACAGTGAAGCTCTCAGGAATAACAATCTCTGGGATGGGAATCTTCATCGAGGAGATTTCCAGTCCATACTGTTAAAGACAGGTCTGGAGTGGTCAAAGCTGGTGGGGAGCTAAGTTCTTAAGTTGGCTTTCCTCCAAAAGGCATAGGGAAATAAGCATTGTTTATGTTGTTGAGGTATAAAAATTAGATTGTTTAAATATTTACCATGCACTTAAGTATTCAGGAATAGTGTCTCTGGTAGGAAAATCTGCTTTCTTACTTGGCACGACCAACCAGAGCGCACTGACAAACATTTTTGTTTATAAAATCAAGAGTGTGATTCCATCCACAACACCCAGCCTAACTCCAGCCTTCACATTGTAGTCAGGGATCTGGATGTCAGCAGTGATAACATGCCTCCTTCTGTTAAATTTCATGACTGCTCTGGTGATCTTGGCATGGAGGCCACTGTCATGGAAAACATTCGTTTGCATTTCTAATCCAGGGTTGACATATTCAGGGATGTGAGAACCCATCTGAGTTACAAACTCAATACCAGCATAGGGCATGAAAGTCTCTTTAATCTATATGGAAACAGGAACAGAATTTAACACCTGTGATGATGTGGTGAAAAAAATGACAGGTGACATATAAACATATTTATGGAGCATTACCATGTCACGAGTAATCTTCAGTCCAACCTTCATACCGGGTGTAAAAGTAACAGAGAGGAAAAAATAAAACAGAAATAGGAAAAAAAAAACACAAGGGAAGTGTTTCTGGGGAGACAATAACCCGACGGACCAGTTGCAGGAACCCAAAATATGGTTGGTGTGTTTTATCATGATTCATATATTACTGATGACGTATTTTTAGGCTAACACGCGTACCTCTCATCTTTTCTTTCCTCACAAAACCGATAGATCCTCCACTTCTTTTAAGTGTCTCCCAGCGCAATTCTTAGCATATTTTGGTTCCTGCAACTGGTCCGTCGGGTTATTGTCTCCCCAGAAACACTTCCCTTGTGCTTTTGGAAATCAGTTTTTTTCCTGTTTCTGTTTTCTTTTTTCCTAATTCCGTTGTCGTTTTTCCTATTTCTGTTTTTGTTTTGTGTGCTTTTGCAGCGTTTTTCTTATTGCTGGTGTTTTCTTAAGTTGCAGTCCGTTTGGCCTCCCTGGGCCACTGTATGTCCATCTTTAAAGCAGGGATTTAAAGGTTCCAAAATGTGATGTTCGAATAGGGTCTACAGTCCTGTTTGTGGTGCAGAAGGCACATTTAATAAGAATCTGTGGGGTGAACAGAAGATCAAAGTTCATGTCAGAATACCATCAAATCTGGAGTAGCTTAGATATTTGCCAAAGAAGAAGGGGCTCGGACTGCTCTGGAGACGTGTGCGAGATTTGTTAAAAACTAGAACAATTGACTGCAGATTGTTATCCAGCAAAAAGAATGGGGGGAGGGGTGGATAATTCTGTCCTCATCTGTAGCTGAATCTAAACTTTGAGTAATGGAATATTGCAGTATATATAATCGGTAACCACAGGGGTGGGCAACTCCAGGCCTCGAGGGCCGGTGTCCTGCAGGTTTTAGATGTGTCCTTGATCCATCACAGCTGATTCAAATGGTTAAATTACCTCCTCAATGTGTCCTGAAGTTCTCCAGAGGCTTGGTAATGAACTAATCATGTGATACAGGTGTGTTGACCCAGGGTGAGATCTAAAACCTGCAGAACACCGGCCCTTGAGGTCTGGAGGTGCCCACCCCTGCGGTAGGACAAAATCTATCGCATACTACGGAATATAGAAAAAAGATATAAAATATTCCCATGTGCAAGCATTTCTGCATTATTAGCATGAAAACCAAAAAGCTGAAATATTAAGATAATTATAGGGCCATGTGTTATATATGCTTCATATAGGATTTTGAAAACTGATACCAAACACAGATATTTAGCAATTTAAAAATTGGTATATTGACTGATATACTGACACTCTCCTGGACCTGCTTGGATCAGCTGGTAATTGTCTTTGAGGTGTTTTAAACATCTGCTGCCAACTGGGAAGTTGTGGCTCTTTGGTGGACATAGTCTGCAACATTGAAACTTATAACATAGTTGAAAGGTGCATAAATAATAAGGGTGCATCTAGAAACCTGTTAGCAACTACAAGTTTCTAGGTTTCCTGTATTGCCTCAATGGTTGCAGGGCATTGCGAGGTGAAATAGGTTGCCATTAGAGTTATCAACATGTCTCAATGTGCAACTTTACATCCAGAGATTTCTCTGTTTGCACTTTACATTCAATTTTCACATTTTCACTACTGCTTAGCAAACAGTTAGCCGGTATTTTCAGACAAGAAATCACATATAGTGGCTGCATTGAACACTCCCTGAAGTTGGCTCTGCTGCATGTTTCTTCCTGTTAAAAGGGAGCTTTTATTTCTGACTATCGCCAAGAAGTTTAAATCAAATTCTGAATTTAACAGGTAGCCAGTGACAAGAAGCTGATATGGGATAAATATGGTCTCTCCGTCTAGTCCCTTTCTAGTCTCTTTTTACTCTCACTACAGTATTCTTGATCAATTGAGGGCTTTTAAAAAAACATTTAGAAAAACCCGGATTAGAGGTGTTGAGCCCAGAAGTAATAAATGCATGAAATAATGAAGTTTAACAAATCCAGAAACAGACCACCTCTCAGTGATAATCAACTTTCCACTGTGTTTTTTTACATTTCCAAATCTGAGAATACTCAAAGCGCACGATGAAGAGGAGTGGCAGAAATTCTTCACTAGAGGCTATCAGGTAATTAAAGACCTAGAAATAGTTTGAATTCATTTGAAAACCTTATTCTTTGTATTCTCCACCATGATTGGAAAAGTAAAAAAACAACTGTTTTAGTTGTTGCATCCTCAGAGTTTAAAGTCTAATCACATAAAGACCTGGATTACGTCTCACCTCCTGCTTCTAATTTAAGATAAAACTGAGGTTATTCGCCAAACAAATCTCAGGAACATTGTATCTTACTCCAGATGTTATAACCCTGGCCGGTTTCTGCTGAAGGGTTCTTGTGTTAAAAGGGAGTATTCATCCACACTTTCGCCACTGTACTTGCTCAAAGGGGGTTATGTAATTATTTGGGGTTTCTTTCTAATATTGTAGGGCAGGGGTCCCCAATCCCAGTCCACGAGGGCCGGTGTCCCTGCAGGTTTTAGATCTCACCCTGGGTCAACACACCTGAATCACATGATTAGTTCATTACCAGGCCTCTGGAGAACTTCAAGACATGTTGAGACGGTAATTTATCCATTTAAATCAGCTGCGATGGATCAAGGACACATCTAAAACCTGCAGGGACACCGGCCCTCGTGGACTGGGATTGGGGACCCCTGTTGTGGGGTCCTTACTTTACACTAAAAAGTGCATTGAGGTGACTGTGGTTGTGAACTAGTGCTATATAAATAAAATTTCCACTGGATTATTCAAGTCCAGAACATTGAGAACATGGAGAAAGAAAAACTTTCTGGAAAAACTGAAGATGAAGTAGTTAAACTACAAGTAAAATAGCAATAGATAAAATTAAAGTCTTTGAAATTTTGCTATAGCTTGCACATTTTGTTCCTAGTTGTTATTGGAAATGCTAATTAAACACTGATAAAACGTTCTTATTATTACCTTTCATTTCACATTCTCATTGCTTAACTGTCAATCTACTCTTACGAGTAACAGTTTATGAAGGGATAAAATTAATATTGAGCAGAACTGAGTTAATCTTTTTCCTGCAGCCCTCTACAACAGTCCCAGTTTCCAATGTGCCCATTTTTTAAATGAACTAACACCTCAGCTTTAGAAATTCATGTAAAGCTTTGTCCTGATCTCCATATCTGAAGCTAATGTTGCATCTGAAGAAATTAAAAGATATGAATATTTATTCAAACTACAGTGACATTATCGGACAGTTCTGATGATCACTCTTGTAAGATACAGTTTAACATAGACAATTATTTTTGTGTAGTTTGACAGTTTTCCTAATTAATTAAGTTTGGATGTAAATAAAAAAAAAATCACAAAGCAATAAATCCGACATTTACAGACTGCATTAATGGATTTTATTAATGCTTCTCAGTCTATGCTGGAAGGTGAGTTTGAACAACATTTTACATGTTCTACATGTGTTTCTACAAAATAATCCATCTTCATTAATGGTGTAGCCGGTGTATCTGCTGAACTTATTGTTATAAATATTGAAAAGCTATTTATCCGTATTCTTTCCAAGAATGTGCTCTGAATGGATGGTAGTGTTTCCTATGTACTTAGGCTTCACTCTTTGATGCTTTACTGTTGAAAGTGAAATGGAAGGTCAATCTCAAGCTTTCCATCTCTGACTGTCACGTGGGCTTGAACTTCCTCAGAAGCTTGCTGCAGAACCCCCTGAACCATATTATTGAACTCATGTACTACATACATGAACACATTTATAATGTACTCGCACACCATGTTGAACTCCATAGCAGAGATCTGGTCAACTATGTTCTTTAGGACCGTGACAAAGTTACGATAGAGATGATTGATATTGCCAAACATTTCATCTAAATAATCTGACTTGAGAGAGTCTACAAATTCCTGCAATTTCTCAACAATAGCCTCTAGGGTCTCACCTATTTTCACTAGCATTGTGTCAAGACTCTCCATGTTTTTTACAAAATTCACCATTTCCTCAAAGATTTTCTTGGAAACTTTTTTGACTTGATCTATGATCTGCCCTCCAGTGACTGCATCACCAACCGGCATCTGCATTTTCACATTGCTCAACCTTTCAACAAAAAAGTTATAGGTGGCCTCCATTTTTTCATAGATAATCTGAATGGTTACTTCTAGCATAGCAGCAATGCTGCTAGTTAGCTTCTTTAAGACCTCAGGGAGAGTGGTCATCTCATCTGACCCAGGCACTTTGAACCTGGTCTCCCTTAAAACCTTAATGACAGCATTTAGGAAGACCTGGACAGTTTTCTGGTATTGTACAATTATGTTCCTGAAGATAATTGACAGCTGGCTCATTTGAACATCATAATTGGTTGCAGCATTATAGACTTCATTGATGTTGTTAATGACAGAGTCCTTTAACATCTCCATGTACCCTGTGAATTGATACTTGTCAGTAAAGTCTTTGAATGTTGAAATTATGGAAGGAAGTCTCATCTTGATCTGAGAGAGTATTGCTGTGGGTGTCTCCATGTTGTAAACAATCTGTAGATTCATCTTGTCGTTATCCTTGGGAGTAGATCTGATGACCAAGATGTCAACATCAACCTCTGGGGCAGACTAGAAAAAAGAAAAAAGAAAACAAAAGAAAAGAAAGTAACATTTAGTAACCAAAATCTTAATTTATCGTTGTACTGACATTCTTCTTTTTCTTCTCCTTCTTCAGCTGCTCCTTTTAGGGTTCGCCACAGTGGCTCATCTGCCTTCATACCATACTATCCTTGGGATCCTCTTCTGTGTCACCAGCCCTCTCCATGTCTTCCTTTACTACATTTATAAACCTCTTCTGAGGGCCTAGTCTCTGGCAACTGCATCTTTAACAACCTTTGTTCAATATATCGACTATCCCTCCTCTGTACCATCTCAATCCTGTCTCTAACTTTGTATGTAAACCACACAACCTGCGTTGCCCCTAAAAATCTTGACATCTATGGTCTATCTATTACCCATCTACACCTTGTTTTTCTTAACCCTTCCACTTGTCTCCTTCTCATTCACACACATGTGATCTGCGCACATCTCTCTGCCTAGCCATTTGATCCAGTGCCTTTCTTCCTTAGTGTCCATTGTATTAAAATGATCTTGCTAACAATACTTACAGGGTAACGGCCATAGACTTTTGCACTCATCTGGGATGGGACCGCACGACTGAACTGAAGGCCCAGAAGGCCAGTGGCTGGAGAAGATACTGAGGCACTGATACCATTGCTGTGTGTAGCATATTGAAGGTTCACATCAGTGAAAGTATGACTGGTGAAGTTCACGTTCAGTGCATGTTGTTGAACACTGGAACAAAAGAAAATATTGAAATCACAATTGCTCCTCATCTGTTGTTACATGCAAAAGATATAAAAATATGCAATTTACATATGAAAATATACAGTAAAGCATGAATTATAGCTTTGTGCATTTTCCTAAAATAACACATTTTAAAACAAACATATTGATTATTACCTCATAGCTTGCATAATGGCATGGTTGGCATTCACAGTCAGGTCAGCATGTGTCAGTGTGATTTGGCTAATCATGTTGAAAGCTTCATTCTCAAAGTTTACAGTAGAAGAAGCTATATAAAGAAATTGCATCAAATTTAGTGCTCAACAGTGCTTAAAAAAAGATAAAGACAGAAGCTTTTAGGGAATTTTAATCAACTCACCATCCATGTTGTATTCCAAGATCACAAAAGCAGAGGTTGCAGAGGACTTGGCAACTGCTCTGATGACAGGAGCACGGCTTTCTACTTCAGCTGCCATGCTTGTAGTGTACAGTGGGCTGACAAGCGTAGAATTAGTAAAGATGTGCTGCTTGGTAGCTGTTACTTCAACAACAGTCTTCTCAGAGAGAGCAAAGTCACCCATGTTGGTTGGCTGAGACACGTCAATGTTAATATCAACAGTCAAGGAGGCTGGTGCAAAATCCATTTTGGCTTGGGCAATATGAATCCCTTTGGTATTGAAGTTGAACAGGTTTGCCTCATTGTTGCCAGTATACGTCAGCACTGCATACAAATGGCTCATGGAGGCTTCAATGGAAAGATTCTCATTTACATCCATATCAATGACTTTGGTTGTACCATGGTTAAACTTGGTATCACTAATAACTTTAGAAGTTGAGCGCAGGGCGTCTTTATTCAGGAACACATTAGCTTCGTTATCTAGCATTCCATAGAGAAAGTAGTCTTCATAGACTGTGCCATCCATGTTTGCTCTAGTAGAGGACTCCATGGAAATATAATCAGAGGTTCCTTCAAGCTTCAGACTGTGGTCTGCCTCAGCCTTTCCAACAGTTTTGATCACAGGAATATTCAAATTACCACTTATCCTCAAGGTGGAAATAGCATTTGCTTTGGTTTTTGTGTCTGCATCCAGTTTTTGGTTTGCTTGCATGTCTAGTATTGGCAGGGCAATATTTGCAACTGTTGCCACAGAGACTTCAGTATCATAAGTATCAGCGCTCAGAGTGATGGTGCTGTCATGAGTTCCTGCAATACGAGTGTTTTCTAGGGACAGGGAGTTAGCCATCTTGAATCCCCTCTTGGTGGTAAGACTAGTAGTGCCAGCAAGTTTGACTTGAAGGTCCTCAAACATAGAGGTTGTGGTAGCTTCAAGATGGAACACAAGATCATCTTCTGTATGCATTCTGGCATTAGCAATCAGATTAATAATGGCAGACTTGACAGAGAGTTCTGTTATTAGATTGCCCACATAGGGAATTTGGATCAAGCCCATCATATCAGCAAGCGGGGCTGCCTTGCTTTTCTGGTAAACAATCTTAGTATTCACATCCAGAGACTGGTCAGTGGTAGTCAAAATGTTGTCCAATCCAGCCTGATCATACAAGTTCAGATCATTGATGGCAGGAGTATGAAAGTCAACAAAAGGCAGATCAATCTCAGGAATACTGATGGGGTATTTCAGAAAGTCAAGACTGGCCTCACTTTCCATGGCAGCGAAGATTCCAACTTCATTTACATTATTTTCAAGAGTGAAGTTGTACAAGATTTTGTACTGGTTAAAACGAGTCAGAATGACTGTATTCATCTTTTGACTGTCAGGACTGATGTGGGCCAAGTAATCATTCTGTAGTTCTATTTTAGCAGTCGAAAATTCAAAACTGTTGACCTTAACATTTCCTTTGTTTTGAAAGTCAAAGAAAAACTCACCAGGGTGAGCTATAACGCTTATTGCATTGGAAAGTCTACCAGTGACTGCACCATAGAGTTCTGTGTCTTTGTTTGCTTTCAACTCAACCTTCATGTCATGAAGGTTTGCATATCCAGATGCAACAAGAAGACTGTTCTTAATAATTGGTGCTTCTGCTTCATTGCGAACATTAAACTTGAAGTAGGAAAATGTGCTAACTTCAGCACTAATATGTTGTTTCATCTTTAACATGGAACAGTCTGTGTCACCACTGAAAGATATGGTGACAATGCTGGGAGAAAATGACAACTCTAACTTGCTGTTGTGGCTGTCATCACCATTAAACGTTCCTGTATTGTCAGCTGTTAGAGTAAGTGTGTAGCCATCTTGGCGAACAAGTGATTTCTGTTTTAGAGCTACCTCATTACTGAGAATGACATTCTTGTCATATTGAATGTCCACTAAATGTGTGTATGTTGTATCAAGAGAAGCAGTCATTCCCCCTTCCCTAGCAATAAAGGCTGTGTTTACAAAGGTAGAAGTGTAAGGTCTAGTAGTGACCTTAATTCCAGTCTTTGCTTGGGCCTGAGCTGATAGGCCATAGAGAGTCACAGATGCCTGATGTTCAACTCCAAGAAAATTGTGCCTGAACTTTACTGTCTCTCCAAAGACAACGCGTCTCATTTTTGGGATTGCAATGCGAGCAGTGGAATCTAGTTTGTAATTGAGAATTTCAAAATTTGGAGCGTTTCCAATGGAAGTGAAAAATCCCTTGAATTGAGGCGTCATTGCATTCTCAGTTGCGTTCTTAAACTCAGCAGATGTCTCCATTGTGTAGATGGGAGTCTGGAGTTTGAGTTCACCAAAGAGTTTACCAAAAGATGGGACTACAATTTCAGTTGGAATGGTTGGAAAGCTTATTTCAGGGACTTGAAGAAACTTGGCAAGTTTTTCTGTAGGGACTTCTGGAATTTTGGGGAATGAGATCTGAGAAAGAGTGATCTCTGGGAGGGTTACCTCAGGGATGGAAGGAAAGTAGTTCATCGTCAAATCTCCAAAGAAAGCATCCATGTCAAACATGCTAATCTTAAAATTTACAATTAAATCAATAAGTTCAATAATTCTCTGCTTGATGTCATCAGTGGAGATTGTGGTGGCTTTAACAATGTGTAACCCAAAGATAGTGAACTCGGGGATGTCAAGCTGAGTTGGGATATCAAGGCTTGTAATTTTGTCTTTGACAATTTGGGCAACTCTCCTAAGAGTATTAAACACAACTTCATCGAAGATATCCATTAGAGTTTTAAAAACTTCAGCTACTTTGATTTCTCTTAAGTGTTCTGAAAGATCTCGAACAGACAATAACACCGTATTGACAAAATCTCTTATTGCCCCAAGAAGAATTTCATGTTTTCTAATAATCTCATTCATGATCTGTGCAGACAGATTAACAAACTCCTGGAAGTTTTTATAATCAAACGATTGAAGCTCTTCCACAATCATTTCAATAAACATGTTAATTTCCTGAATTATTTCTTTTACTTCATTTCTTTTCCAGTAGTGGATAGTAAACTCATGGCAATCCATTAAAAAACGATAAAAGTTTGTTATGACAGTAGCGAGATTAGAGATGGTTTCGTCAATCTTGATGTTTTTCACGACCTCCACAGCTTTATCTAAGATTGCTTGAAAATTTTTGTCAGCTTCAAGCTTTGCAATCAGTTCACTTAATTTGGAAGTTATTGTGTTAAGCTTATTTACAATATCAAAGTCCTGAATAATTTTCTGAATAAAATCTGTTATGTGGCTGACAATTTCTGTGGGAATGTAGCTCGTTAATAACTCGATATGAGCTTTTAAGGATGACGTGAAGCTCTTTAGCTCAGCAACAAAAATCTCCAATGTTTCTTTTATACCTCTGAGGATTGACTGTAGTTTGGCTTTGATTTCATCCTTGCCAGCAATATCATGTAGGAATGCAAAGCTGCTGCCCTTTAGTCTTTCCAAGTCAAACACTTGAATGATTTCTCCTATGGTTTCAGTTGCATATGCAATAATGGGCTCAATATCATATTCCTCATTAAGGTTATTCAGCCATTCCTGGATTGCTTGAATGGTGGTTTCAGGGAAATTGCCACTAAAAATAGTTTCATTCACCACATCAACAAAGTTCTGGATGTAAACAGAGAGATTAGCTAGTAGTTTCTTAATAGTAACATTTAGGTTCCTCAAAAATGTTTCCACATCATTCATGGAGATAGTATATTTCTGAATTAAATGACTGAAAAGCTCTTTCAGTTGAATTATCTTGCCTTCTATATTCAATTCAGTAAGTAGGTCACTTATATGTTGCGGGAGAGCCTCAACTTTAGCCCTTATATTATCATTGTTGATGTAGTGCTGCAGTTCATCTACAACATTCAAAAGAAATCCCTTGATGTGTTCCAGGAGGGCAAACAGATTTGGAATCTGAATTATGTGACTATCTGTGTTCTTGTCATATTTGAGTAAGCCAGAGACAGTGAACTCCTGGTTGTCTGTGGAAGCTGTGTTAATAATGTTTGTAAGGATTGTACTAGAAACCTCAATTCCAGTTGTCTCAGCAGTGTTATAAACATCTATGTTCTGATCAAAGGTGTGCTCATTCATTTTAGACTTAAATTTAAAACTAGTCCTTTGCTCTTGGAGTGACAAAGTAGTAATCATCTTGTTGTCAAATGTGGTCTCAAGGGAAAACCCATTATTCAGTTGATGGGTTACGGATGCCCTGCCTTCATTTGAGCTGGCAAGAGCCATGGGCTGAGCTCTAAAGAGAAACTTATTGTAGATCTGGGCACTCTCTCTTCCATAAATGGCCATATCTCCTTCAGCATTCAATATGGCATCCAAGTTGAAATCAAAAGGAGCAATATTGCAACGCACAGTGTGGCTTAAGCGCACCGGTTGTGAGTGAAAGCGGACATCATTGGTAATCATGGCAACAAGGCCGACAACTTCAACTTCAGTGTTGTGGTTCATGTGAGTTCCAAGGAATTTTCCAGTCGTGCTGCACTTTGCATTAGCACTCATGTCACCATAACTGATCTGATAGGTGTGCTTGAGCTCTTCTTCACCATTGTTGGCTTTCAAAACTCCACTCAGATCCATCTTGCCAAGCCCTACCTGCAGCTGTGCCTGATTAATAAAGTTAGCACTCAGGAGATTTAGATTGTTGTTAACATTTGAAGAAACACTGTGGGGGTTCAGGTCGAAGGTGATATCATGAGTGTAAGAGGCATAATCCCTTGCAGAGGCTTCAGCCTTTGAGTTGAAGTTAAGGCCGGAGAGAGTTAAGGTAAAATTGTTGGTGTTGTCAACCTTGATTTCATACATCGCAGCCCTGTTGGTAATGGCTAGAGTAGCTCTTGTAGCATCAACCTCGGCATCAAAGGTGTTTTCCATGGACAGCGGGCTATGGAGAGTAGTTGTTCCTTTTGTGGTGAAACCATCTTTATTCATTCTCAGAATGACCTTATGAGTAGCCTCATTTTCAAGAAGCTTCACATTGGCATCACTATTTATAGCCAGACCATTGACATCAAGAGAGGCGGTCAGCAAAGAGTAAACATGATTTTCAGAGTAGTCTGTGTTTGTTTCCATCCTCAAGATGACTTCACCAGCACCAGCAGAGGCTTCTATGTGATTTTGCATCTTCATGCCAAGAGCAAGGGCATTTGCAGCACATATCAGTTTCACTCTGCTATCTCTGATAGAAAGCTCAGCATTGTGAGTGATGACATCAAAAGCACTGGTTTTAGACGCAACTGAGACTTCCCCATTGATATAGGTTCCTGTAATTACATTCAGGGCCTTAACAAGTGTGGAATCTACCTGAAAATTAGAATCAAACTTTACTTCTGGCCTGAATGGGAAGATGGTTAAGGACTGGATTGAGAGAGTCTTGCCATAAATGGGTCCAGCTTCAAATGCCACCTGAAATTTGTTGTCAGCAGACATTTCCTCATGGTTTATTCCAGCCATACCAGTGTGCTCTGTGACAACACTGAAACCAAGTGGACTTCTGGCTTCTATCTTGGTGTTTGTTTTCAAATTAATTGCATCAGAGATGATTGCATCTTCAACAATGCTAATCCTGGCTTCAACGAATTTGTGGGCCAAAGAACTTTCAAATTGGGCTTTGATGGAATCGGTAGTGGCGACTTTTCCAGAGCCTAGATTAAAAAAACACACACAAGGACAAAAAACAAAAAAAATGCTTAATTGCTGACTAATAACTTCAGAATCCCTATGGTGACTGCTTTACCAGAAAAGATCCATTTGCTTGTATACAATATCCATATATACATCAAGAATCTCTTGAAAACTATTCCAACACAAAAAACAGCACTTCATTTGAACTACACATTAGCAACTTTAAATTTATCAGTGATCTTCAGTGTGAAGTACCTTCAAGCTTTATTGAAAGAATGTCAATTGGGGAGGTTCCTTTGATGACAAACTTGGCTGAGTAGCTTTGTGATTCATCTTGGTCTACGCCGAAAGCCACAGAGGCCTCTGTGTCATATAAGTTGCTTTTCATCACTGTTGAAACCTCAGCTCTACCAAACAAGGGAATAGATAGCGTGATGCTCTCAGGAACAACAAACTCTGGGATGGAAATCTCCATAGAGGGGATTTCCAGTCCATACTGCTGTAGAGACAGGCCTGGTGTGGTCAAAGCTGGTGGGAAGTTAAGCTCTTCTGTTGACTTTCCTCCAAGTGGCACAGGGATAGCAATTGTGAAGCGATTATTGTTTAGGTAATAGATGGCCGTTGCCTCACTATTAAAAAGATAAAAGTAAATATCTGGTTGTTTAGGGAGAAAAATTAGACAGTTTTAATATTTACCATGAGGTTTAACACACTTACGTATTCAGGAATAGTGTCTCTGGTAGGGAAATCTCTGGCATTTCAGGCAATCTGAAGTTCTGAATGTAAGGGAAATCAGCACCATACTTTTCCATGTAATTGTTTGCTGCCTAAAAACAGATAACCATTATTATATGCACTGTTACAAAATTTCCTCTGGGATTAATAAAGTACTCTGATTCTGTTTTTGAGTTCATGTTTTTTTTAAGAAAAACATTTGTATAATTGAGCAAATATGTATGTACCTCCACAAACTTCTTGAAGATATGACGAACTTTCATGTCAGTTTGTGCCACTTGCATGTCAAGAAGATCATTGCCATAATTTTTAATCAAGTCGCCCTTAGGCAACATGGTGGTCTTGGCGTTCACATCCGACTTGACCTCAACCTCAATTTTTGTGGCATCTAAAATGATAAAGAAGAGAGCACTGAATAAAATCCAGAACAACTTTATGAGAAAAATCAAATTCAGATTGTTTATTTTAAAGATCATATCATAACCTGCATATAGCTATTAGAAATGGGTCACTCTGTCTTGATCATAGTTGCCTTTAAATGGTCAGTAAAACCATTTTTTAGGCTGCAATTATTAACTATGATGAAGTGACAGATATTTCTACAGATAGGAGGATGTCATTTTTCATACCTTGATACAAAAAAGCAACAATATGCAACTGTTAAATAACTTGTGATGGGACATTTAGAACACTGTAACTGAAAAAGCAATTTACCATATTTGATATTGATTTTCTGTTGAGAGTTGGCATCCATGACCTTGATTTCACTCTCAAGCTCCAGTTCCACTTCTTCATCACGTTTCATTGTAGCTGTGACAGTAGCATCAGCACTGATTGATGGGACCACAAGTTGGACTTGGAGCATACCTTCCTTCATAGCCTTCAGACTGAAAGAACATATACATCTTGCTGTTAATGATAGCAGTGAAATTAAAAAATATTTGTCAGCGATCTGTAGTTGCTTTCTTACTTGGCACGACCAACCAGGGAGAGCTGAAGAACATTTTTGTTTAAAAAATTGAGAAAGATGGCGTGAGTTCCTCTGCCCTTTGTGTTTCCATCCACAACACCCAGCCTAACTCCAGCCTCCACATCGTAGTCAGGGATCTGGATGTCGGCACTGATGACATGCCTCCTTCTGTTATATTTCATGACTGCTGTGGCTTCTGTAGGCTCTGCACCTGTTGTTGACCAATTGAATGACTAAAGTTACAGTTACATCCATAATTTGTTGGACAACAGAATGATGGAAAGAGAAAAGTATGGGAAGGAAAGAAAAAGCTCATAATCCAAAGCATGCCACATAATATGTAAAACCTATTGGGGGCAATGTTATGGGACAGGTTTGCAGGGTTGCCACTGATTGTACAGGTCTTCACAGAGCAAGTGGATGATTACAGTTACGGTAGTTTGTCCAATCAACTTTGAGCTGTTGAAAATGGAGGATTATGTATGACAACCTCTGCAATTTCTAAGCAGTTAATGCAAAACTTATTAAAACCCTTTCAATTAAAGCATTCAAATTTAAAATCCACTGTGGTGGTGTAAGAAGATAAATTTATAAAAATGTTGTCTTTGTCCAAAAAATTATGATTTAACTGTAAACAAATCAAAAGAAAAAAAAATCAAATATTGTACATTACCGTCAGCTTTTAGAATAAACTTCAAGGAATCAACTTTCTGCCGGCCATTGTCTCCCTCGCTGAGGAGTTCATAGGCAATAGTGGCTGTGTACTCGGAAACTTCACCAGTTGGGTGCAGCTCCACAACATATCTGTTAGGTTAAATGGACAGTATTTATTTATGAAATAATTACATTTAAGACACAGTTATTTTCTGTTGGTTAAGAATATTTTACAAACTTGCTGTCTCCAGTGAGGGGGAAGTAGGGCACTGTCTCCTGAGAGGAAGCGTCAATGTATTGCAGAGCAGTGCAGTATTTCATTCCCACAAAGGCAGGACTACACTCACTAACATCAACCTTGTCCCTCACCATAGGAGGGATGGTCTTCACCTCTGATCCCGTCACAGCCACAAGGTTGTTTCTAAGTAGGAATTGTAGCAAAGGAAAAATATAATTCTGTCCTAAATGAATTTAATCAAAGATACATATAAACAAAGCTTTGTTTATTTTACTTTGACAAACATTGGCCAGTTTATAATTCAAGATAAGATTTAATCAGCTGTTTTCTCTGCATTCATATTGGAGAAAAGTGACATAATATATAAAAGGTCTAGCTCTCGCTTACGTAATTTTGATGAGCTTTGTTGGACTTGTTGGAGCAGGGATGGTCAGCTTAATATTATCACGACCAAAGGTGATCTTGGCATTCAGGCCACTCTCATGGAAAATGTTGGTGTGCATTTCTAATCCAGAGTTGACATATTCAGGGATGTGAGAGCCAATCTGAGTTGCAAACTCAATACCAGCAGAGGGCATGAAGGTCACTTCACTCTGTGTGGAAACAGGAGAAAGGTTAACACCTGTGATGATGTGGTGAAAAAAAATGACAGGTGGCATTTAAATATATTTATGGAGGATTACCATGTCACGAGCAATCCTCAGTCCACCCTTGATACCGGGTGTAAAAGTACCAGAGAGTGCAATCCTCAGAGGCACACCGGTGACAGTAGGCAGGAAGAACTCATTGTCCATGAAGATGTAGTGGGCAAAGATTGTGTTGTCAGAGTTCACCATTAGTGCTCTAATTAACTGTGGAAAATAAAAACACACGTATAATAGAATCTTTAAATCATTAGCAATTGATTGCTCACTGTGAATGTCCTTTAACTTTATCTTACATCAGTTGGGAACATCTTTAACATGTTGTTGATCATCGTAGCAGCAGAGTAGGCTATCTCCTCCATTTCATTGGTCTTCAGATATCCCAGCTCATTTCCCAAAAGTCTCAGATAAACCATTGCCTCTGGAGACTGCATGGTCTTCAGCTCTCTCACCAGTTTGTTGAGATTTTGTCCGATCTCCTTCATCAGGTTCTAGGAGGCCAAAATATAGGCAAACAATTAAAAAAGTTACCCACTGAAAGAGTTCATAATTAATTTAAAGTCTGACTAACGTAAAACAGATTGCTCTTCAATTCAATTCAATTCAATTCAATTCAGTTCAATTTTTATATAATGCCTAATCACAGCAGCAGTGGTCTCAAGGTGTATTGTAAGGTATTATAAGGTAGAGACCCTAATATAGAGAAACTCCAGTAATCGAACAACCCCGTTTGAGCATGCACTTGGCTAAAGTGGGAAGGAAATCTTCCCTTGTAACCGGAAGAAACCAGGCCCAGGAAAGAAGAAATAAGTGTATAAACTAGTGTTTCAGCATCACTCTGGGGCAGGATTTTCCTATTTTTTTTAATGATCTTGCACTAATGTAAGAAAGAAGTCCTACATATTTATTTAATATACAGACTGAAGGACATATCCTTGTTAGAAATTACCATAAGAGTCCTCAGTGTCACTGGAGGTCAATGCCATTCATGCAGTTATCTTATTAGAGACCATTTTTCTAAGGTTTTTAAGTTTTATATCAGTTTAGAAGTAGGGAATGGATAGAAAGAGCTGGGTATCATCTGCATAGTAATGAAAATGTATGCTACACCTAAGAGGAGCAATGTAATGTAAACAGAATTGGTCCTAGCATGGAACCCTGTAGAATTCCGTAATTTACCTCAGCGTGTGAGAAGACTCCCCATTTACATAAACAAATTGGAATCTAATAGATATGATTCAAACCACTGTGGCACAGTACCTTTAATTCCTACAGAATGCTCTAATCTTTTTAATACAACACTGTGCTCAACAGTATCAAGGGGTATAGGGATGGGGTGGAGAGAACAGAAGGAGAGAAGATGCAGATATGTGTGTAGACCAGAGATGGGCGTTAACGTGTTAACGTGTTACTGTAATCCGATTACTTTTTTCAAGTAACGAGTAAAGTGAGGGATTACTATTGCAAAAACGGTAATTAGATTACCATTACTTTCCCGTAAGTACACTGCGTTACTGCGTTACAGCGTTACTAAAACCGTGATTTTTTTTTTTTTTTGCGAGAATATCTCATTACAGTGATGTAAGTGTGTGCAGATCAACAATGGATAATATATCGAGTGTGGGAGAGAGTATGAGCGTGCAGCGTTTAAAGCGTGGAAGTACTGACCTTATTTTGAGTTTGATTCCATAAAAAGTGACAAAAACATTAGTGTCCGTTGTGCGTGGGAAGAAAACTTCTTTTTACTGCGAAAAAAACCCCTAAACTTCCAAGCAAGCACCGAGTGTGCTACGACGTAATGGGAAATTCACAGAGAAACTCGCGGATTCTTCAACTGCCTGCAGCAGCACACCTGCACCAGGGTAAACCTCCGCCTACTCCACTCCTGCTTTACAGGTGAAAATAGAGTCTTTGATTTTATTTATTTTCTGCTGTGTTTTACTTGCATCTATTTGAAAGAGTGAGTGTAAACACAAAAAAATATTTTATTTTATTTTATGTGCTGGAATGTGCAGAAAATAGGTTTAAATGTTAAACAAATTTCTTCCAGTCAGAGAATGTTGCATATAATTAAAGTTTTTAAAAAATTAAAACTAATAAAACAAGTTTTAAAAAGAGACTTTTCCATTTGATTACATTTTATATGATGGATTATGCAGAAAAAGTAGAATTGGGCTTTATCACCTATTCAGGTTGTAAATTGTGTTTTTAAAAAGTAACTAAGTAATTAATTACTTTTGAAAATAAGTAACCAGTAAAGTAACGGGATTACTTTTGGGGGGAAGTAATCAGTAATTTGTTACTGATTACTTTTTTCAAGTAACTTGACCAAGACTGGTGTACACTGCAATTCTACTTCCTGGTCTAAATTCTGCATAGTCATGTTTTTGGGGATTTAATACATTTAGCCAGATTTCTAGAAATCAGAGTTGCTTTGTCTGAAGCGGGATGGATGCTATCCCTTCTAACAAGACCAGGTATTCACCAGAAAGTTTCCTAATTGTCTATAAAACGCACATTGTTTTATGGACACCACTCAGATAGAGGGCAATTTAAGGACAACATGTAGCTAAACATGTCACTCCTAATCTGATTGGGGAGGGAAACAGAGAAAGCTAGAGTCCAACATGTGTTAGCAACGTTACACACCAGATGTCAAATTTATGGAACTGGGAGTCAATAAATTATAATTTTACTGAGTCTACGTTTGTCTTTAGAGAGCAGTTTCAGGGTTCCTTCAATGTCGCCTGCTCTGGCCCCAGGAAGATAACTGACTATTGCTGCAGGTGTCTCTAACATCACACTTCTCAAAACAGATTCACCAATATCCACAGTTTGTTCCTCAACGTGTGTGTAGGTTTCTGTTTAGGATCAAGTTTCCTCCTCGTGGTCCCCTAGCCAGCCTGTTTTCTATGGCTGCTCGGGACAGTCGGCTGGGGGAGGGCGAATGGTGGCTAAGCTACCCTCACCTGCACTGACTGCTGGGGCCAGGCTAGCTACAGGGTTTTCTAGGTTGTGGTGAAAGGTGTCCAACTGAAATACCTGTCTATTTATCCGGTCTGCCTTGAAAGCAGGGATCACGTTCTGCATGACCTCGCGGATCCTTTGTGGCATGTTGTCAGACACAAAATACATAGTCTGCATGGCAGTGTCAGGGAAGAATCCATTTTCTCCAAACAAAGCTTCAACAGTTGGCTCAAATCCTGTCCCCTCCATACCGATCTTCAAAGGTGACAGATTTATTCTGTTAAACCGAACATTTCAAAACAGTGTCTCAATTTGAAGTAAATGGCCCAAAATCATTACCTCCACCATGTCAATGTCATAGCCAAATGCCTTGAGAGTCATTTCAAGCATGACCTCCTTAGGCAGGTAGCTTGTACCCTCAAAGATCATATTGCCCTCCAAAGATCCAAACTTATAGTTGCGAGAGAACTTTGTGGGGTCCATAATGGGCCCAATCTCATTACCCTGAATGGCATCCTGAAGCTTATGTCTCAGCCTGTAGAAAAAAATAGTCGAGTTATTGTCACCGAATTAGAATAACAACTTTCTAATTACCAATAATTCTCACTTACGCTTGAGTCTCTGACCCAGATGAGGACAAAATGTTGGTAATGTGGGAGATGACAAAGCTCTTGACTTGTTGGTCCTGTATATTGGGCAAGGCATTCACCACCCGGGCAAGTTCACTTAGCTGAGGATTTTTCATAAGTACCAGATATGCAGCAATACGTTTTTGCATGGGACTAGTGCTGTCCAGAAGAACCTGCATAAACTCCTCTCTGCCCTGTGCCCAAAGTACATAAAAAAAAAATTAGTGTAAAAAAAAAAAAAATTAATAAATAAATAAATAAATTATATGGGTCTGACTTGAAAGGACACCAAATTTAATGACATACTGCATTGGTAGAGTGTTGGTTAAAAGTTTACATGTACTCGTTATTGGCATGAATGTCACAGTAATTTGGGACTTGTAATGCTTTCTTTGAAATGTTCTTTTTCCAGGGTGGAATGATTGTACAACATACATCTTTCAAGTCTTTAAAAAACAAGATTTGGGGACACAAATTTGAATTTATTTCAGATTTTCTATTATCTACACAGGATCAAACATATGCATACAAGTATAAATACACCCCAATAAATATTTGATTAAATGTCCCTTAGAAAGATGCACCTCAAATATACTTTTGGTAGTTTATTGGCATTTAAAGGAATCATTAAACTCATAAAATTAACATGACATTCATGCCCATGATGTAGAAAGACAAAAGAGATGAGTAGAATTGTGAAGAAGTGCTCACAGTGTATGTATCCCAACTCATTCTGAGTAAGGATATTTTTAATTACAGAGATATTGCACAGATGAAAGCAGAAAGAGGTCTGAGATATTTGTCTAATATTCACACTGAAGGACATATCCTGGTCAAAAGGTAAATTCAGGAGAAAACATTACAAGTCATGTGTCATCTGGCTTTATCCATAAATAAAGCTGGGTGTCATCTGCATAGCAATGAAACTGTATGTAGTGTTGTCTAATAATGTTATCCAAGGGAAACATGTATGTTGTAAGTTCGCACAGAACTTTGTCGAATTTCATAAAAATTTCATTTAATACTCCTGCTATGTGATAATTTTTATAATACATTTTTGTTATCAGTGATATCAGATGCTACACTGAGTTGCAACTCTTCACTAGTGCTCTATCTGTGCTTTGTTGCACTGTAAATCTTGACTGAAATTCTTCAAATAAACAATTTCTGCAAGTGATTAGGTAACTATTTGAGAACTACTTTTTCAAGAATTTCTAAAATAAACTTTTTTTTTAAAATAGGTTACCTCCTCAGGGAGAGGGGTCAGCCTGTACACTTGAATTGCAGCTTGTTGCACGGCCAGAGAAGCTGTAGGTTTGTTCACACAGTTGATCACAGCAGTCCTGAGTGCTGGACTAGCAGGTACCACAGCTGGAGCCATGTTTCCAATAACCTAAGATAAAAAGTAAAGCAAATAATCAACACATGAAGAAGAATAAAAATTCATGCATGCTTCAACATGCTCTACAGGTGAGATCATGATATCTTGTTTTGTAATGGGCAATTTTAGCGTGTTGCTCCAAAGGATCTACCCTTTAAATGTATATCATTGATTTCTGTTTATTTTGCTATAATACATGAAATCTGTGTCTGTGTGTGTTTGCTTGCTTCTGTAGTCGCGAACTACTCCAACACAATCAGGAGTTGAGAAAACAAATAGGCAGACAGGTACAGCTGAGAACCCTAAAGGTTCAATATCAGATGTTACATTGTAATCATTGTTGCCTAGCAACCACCTAGCTAATAAAAACATTGTATCATCAAGATTCAATATGTATTGATATATTTTTGCTTCAAACAATCATAATTATCATAAAAGTAATTCTCTAACTTTATTTCTACAGTAACAGTATTTTAATTTGAAGTTATGGGCAGAATACCTACCCTGAGTGTCATAAAAGTTTTGTCTTTGTCTCCAGAGCAATCACCCAACTGGGAAGCCATGAACTCCGCAACAGAGTGAATCTCAGGAATTTGCCTTCCTTCAGACTTGTAAAACCTGTTAAAAGAAAAAACACAATATTTAGCCTCTAAAAGTATTTCACAAAGAAAGAACTAGTAAAATATTATTGATAAATCTTCCCTTGAATAAAGTCTGATTTAATTTGCGTACCTCTTTACAACATTGCTCAGAGCATACATGACAGGCTTGCTGGGTTTGTATTTGGCCATCTCGAGCATATCGTGGATCAAGAGTGCAGAAGGATTGGACACGAGTCCCAAAGCAAAGACAGTCGCATCAACCTCAAGAGCGTTGGTGTCAAAGGTCCTTAGGATCTTCATGATGGCACTGCTGCATTCAGGCGTTCCACATTGAGCCAGTACCTGGTAGGTGAGGACTCGGGATACCGCAAGAGCCTCAGGGAGTGCCGCGCTCAAGGTTTCTGTTTTCATTCCACGGACCGTTGAGACAAGCTTGTGGAACAGGGGAGCCCTCTTCTCACCCTCGTTCTCAGACAGAGTGTCCAGTTCTCTCAGGAGATTCAGAACTGCATCTTTATCCTGTACAAAACTCTTGTCCTCAACAGCCTCCATGTGGAGATCCTTGACAATGACACCTTAGCAGACAAACAAAAAGATTATCATGAGTCTGCACTACATTGTGGTTATAACAAATCAAAACAAAGCAAATTAAACAGAAAAGGCTTACCGTGAGCAAAGATTCTGTCATTGTGAGGAGAAACTTTAACCACGGTGAGCTCTTGCTTTCCGACATTGGCAACTCCATATTCTCTCCTTAAATATAGAAAACAAATGCATATCCCTGTGTGTACTTATATAGCAGAGCATTCAATAGAGTCTAGTACAAGGTTTGACTTACTTATATGAGAAGGGAATGAGGATGTGGTTCTCGGTGCAGGACCCAAAGGTCATGTGTTTTTTCTCATTGTCAAACCTGTAATTGCAGGTTTGGGAGCTTCTGATCAGCTGAGCAAGAGGGTAGTGCTTGAAAGTTATAGATGAGGATGTTAGCATTGTGGATATTTGTGTTGGCACATTTTTGTGTAATCTTTTGCAAAAGTAAAGGCATTACAATTTTTTTTTTTAAAAGATACTCAATTCGGCTTTTCTTTCCATTATAGCTCAAATTTAACCACTAGTGTGTTAAGACACATTAATACCACAGTACAACGAACAAAGGTAGAGTTTCTCTTTTGATTTGTCATAGTGTTTAAAGTTTTCAGCTCACAGCTTGTCTTTGGGTGCCTTACCATGCCGGTGATAAGAGCCAAGGGGCTGGTGTGATCTCTCATTGGGACAAATTTGTCACATCTGGACAGATCCCTGTTTAGGCTGACATCAGTTGCAATGTCTTCTCTAGCATTGACTGTGTAGTGGGTCTTGCAGTTGCCGTGAATTGTAGGCTGCAGCGAATATGGTAAAGATTAGATGAACTAAATAAAGATGTATAATATATGATTACGAAACCATTTTTAATAAATATAAAATGTGGTTTAATGTTGTTAAAGTGTTGTACCATATTCTTGTTCTTGTCTTCTTCCAGCACAGGAACAGCCAGTGCAGAGATGATACCCCTCTTAAAGTTCAGGACAGTTGTTGTTTCACCGTCCTCGGGGTACAGTTTCACATCATACAAACCCTCAATCACGACCCTCAGGGGATACCTTTAAAAAACAGTGCACAGTCTCCAAATATACCACTTTTTTTTTTCAATGGTTTAAATTATCATGGAGAAATTACATACTTTTCCATTTCAGCAGCAAAGGCATCAGAGCTGGGGCTGTTGGCAAACACAGGGTTACCCTGTGTGTCCGTGTCAACAACTTCACTCAGCCTGCAGCCAGTAGTGCGCACAATGAAACTACAAGTCTGAGGCACTTCAATTTCAACCTGTGAGAGGAGGGAAATTTCTTTTTCTGAAATACATGGATTGGAAAGGGGGAAACTGATGATTTAGCATCATCGTGAGGTGTTTCTCATACCTTGCAGGAAGCCTTGTGTCCATTCTTGAGATGTGAGGCTCCGTTGATAGCATTCAGAGATTCAGCTTCATATTGGTATTCATACTTGTGTAGGCTCTTGTACCTTTGAGCCACTAGGAGAGATGAGATTAGAGTAATGAGAAATCATTTATTAGTTATAGTTTGGAAACTACTGCTACTGTGCAAACTTGATGTCAACATCAAAATGAACTTACAGAGACAGGCTGGTTGATCCCAATCTTGTGCAACTGGAAAACAAAGATTAATCATTTGCTTTAGCACCTGTAATACAACTAAAACGCAGTGCACTACAACTTAAACCCATCTACCAAGCCTAATAATAACCTAGCAAGGATTTACACATAGGTGAATACCATCAGATGTTTTGTGTTTTCCCAATTTTTGTACTTGTTGCATGTTTTTTTAACCTTCATTCAACAATTCTGCAAAGACTACAGTACACTGATATCTATTGCAACCTTTTTAACGCTGTAAAAAATACTGAAAGAATTTAGGAACTACTCACAAGTCAAGGCAGATGTACTGAGGAGCAGCAAAAGGCAGAGCTTTGAGTCCCCCATGATTGGTTCGTTGAAGCCCCCTCCTTTTGGGTCAACGAGCACTCCGAAATGAGACTGATTTTTTTGTACTTCAGCTTGAGGCTTTTATACTCTCAGGTGGGCCCTGTTGGGAGACTGGGAGGCACAGACAATTCTTTGAATGCTCAAAGTCCACCCGACCCTCTTGTGTGTGGAGGGACAAAGGCAAAAGGGTTTAAAACACACGTAGAGCTAAAAGACGAGACATGGAAAACGGATGTATTGTGTTAAAAAAAATCTTCTTTTATTAATGTGGTTTGTCATTCACTGATTGGATATTAAAGGTTAGTCTTAAGAGATCATCTAATAGCTACTAATTAGTTTTCGCGTTGTTTTTATTTTTCACGCTGTTACATTCTTAATAGTGTGCTAATAACCCACCACCAACAATTCATATTATTTCTTACACTTTCCAGTTAGTGATTGTGAATGCGTATAAAGGCATAGATTTAATGAGCAATTCTACACTCTAAAATACTCCAGTTGATTCATAGACAGAGAGATTGCACACATTAAAAGTGAAAAAATTGAAGATTAAAAAGGTAGCATTAATTGTCTAGTGTTACTTGCTTCATTTTAGGCTGCAGTGATTGGTAAAAACTGCGGTAAAAACACTTAAGTTAGCAAAAAATCTTAGATTATATAACATAATAAATGCACTCCTGTACATATTTGCACTATACACATCGTTTAAAATGGCAATGTTGCTTTACATTTACTTTTTACAGTCAAAAACCAACCAACCAACCAACAAAAATAATAATACTTACAGCGTAATGAAGTTAGATGCTTGTTTTTCTGCTCCACAGCCCAAAAATGACAACAGCAAAAACATTTGCAGACCTTGATTTGGGTTGGGACACTGAACTTTGAACTACAAAGTTTCAAAGGTTCCTGCAAAATTTGATTAGTTGTTTGAATAGGGTCTGCTATTCTGTTTGTGGCATGAAAGGCACATGCAATAAATAAACAGTAATAACCTTGAGCTGTCTTAAGCATTATTATTATTTTTTGTAAATGGTGTTTACTTCAATCATTTATATTGCATTATATTAAACATTTCCCATTACTATACAAATTCTTGAAAACATGAAATTGTCTTTTTTTTTTATTTGTGCACTGATCTCAGAGTTACATCTAAACATTGTGTAATGGTCTGTTGCAATATATATCCTGATCAGTACTTTTTGATGGATGCTGATAATGTTTGAACTAACACAGAGTCCAAAGGGAGCTTAAAGCGAACACTTTTGTCCTTTTCCATTTTAAATTTAAAGCTTATTTATTTTTTCTTTTGTAATAACAATATTCTAACTGAATTAAACTATATGATCTTCTAAGTTGCAAGTTTTCTGTGTAAAGTCCTGTTACGTACTTGAGACTGGACTTTTTCTAGCTGTTCAGCAGTTAAACAACATGAATCACCAAACGATTCTTAATGTAAGTCTGTGTACTTTAAAAAGGTTACCAATGTATATATAAGTAACAGTACTCAAACTATATAACCTTATAAAACATATTGGCTAATATTTGAAATACTTCAAATATTTAGTGGTAGCTGTTTCTGGTGTTTTTGCACAAAACCAGCAACGCACACAACAGTAATGTGGCAAATAGAAAAATTCATTCTTACTAATGTCACTGTTTTTAATGCAAAATACTCTTATGTTTACATTATTATAAATGCCCCATTTTCTTTAATCCAGTGTGTCTTTGTCTTAGTTTAATGTTCTGCAGGTAACAGGGACTTTATAATTAACCATTCCATTCATTTCTTTGTTTTTTAATCAGCTTCTGGAGTCTGCATACTATATGAAAGATATAATCAGGTCAAGAACGAGACAAAGAATTCAGAGAAGGAAAACACCCCAGAGTCATCAGAGGATGAATAAGCCGATTTTGGTCTCTTTAAAATCAGATGAGTACCAAATAATAATTAAAAAATACGAATAAATAAAACTGAATCTAAACTCTGTGACCCAGGTGTATGTAGTTAGCCGCAAGTACTATTGCCCAACCAATTTTTTGGCATAAAGGTCGATACCACTGGAGATATTTTGCAAGTACTGTTAAACCTTGTTATGTATTTCTTTCTTTCTTTTAAGATGTTACAATGTAGTCTAGGATCCTGTTAGTGAATCAATTTTCCCAATAAACAGTATGGATTGAGGTACTTAGTAGTTTTCAACATAAGCTTTGAATGTTGTGATGATCACTCCATCAGTGTATTCAGAAAATATCAGGTCTTCTTCCACAGTAATACATTTTGGGGGAAAATTCATCTATCAGTATCTTTGTGGGGGTGTAATAGTTAAAAGGAAACGATGTGGCCACACTTGGTATCATCATGTAATCTGTGCAGTTATGGATTCTTCTGGATTCTTTGTAGTCCTGCCCTGTTTCCTAGTTTGCCATGTTTATCTGTCTATAAGTACCTATAAGCTGCCTGCGCTTTGTGCTGTTTTATTTGAAAAGAAATCCAGATGCAAAAAGTGCAAACCCTTTGAAAAAAATAACAGTTACTGGAAAAATATTTTTTTAAATTACTGGTAGATTTTTAATCATGGAACTTTTTTTAGGGTTTAAATCAGCCTAGACTTTGATTATAGCTTTATTCTCCTGCTCAGTCTACTTATATAGAAATCTCCTGGTGTTCCTTTATCTGTAAGGCTGTGTTTTACATTATTGTAAAACTGTGTTTTCTGTATTGTGCTATTTATTTATTCAGTTTTCTATTTTTTTTTT